AGCAGCTTTACAAGATGTTCGTAAGTATGATGGTGAGCAGCATATTTAGATCATAGATGATAGTACTCTTCCCATTACTGCAGTTGGAAATCTAGGGTCTTCCTTTACTAATGTTTTTGTGTCTCTTGATTTATCTGCCAATCTCATTGCTGTTGGACAATTAGTAGAAGATAATTGTTCTATTCATTTTGATTGTTCTGGTTGTCATGTGCAGGATCAAGCGTCGAGACAAGAGATAGCGAAGGGGCCTAAAGTGGGACGTCTTTTTCCTCTTTAGTCGTTTTTCGTTCCTCGTTCAATTTCTACTGGTTGTTCTACTATTGCTAATAATAATAGCCATCTTTGGCATAAGAAATTGGGTCATCCCAACTCTATCATTTTGACACATCTTATGAAACATGGTTATTTGAGTAATACAAATGAATTTTCTTCCTTGTCTTTTGATTGTGCTCCTTATAAACTAAGAAAAAGCAAATCTTTACCTTTTCCTTTGGAGGATAGTCGTGCTTCTACATGTTTTGAAATTATTCATTCTGATGTTTGGGGTATGAGTCATGTTCTTTCTCATGCTCATTACATGTATTTTGTGACATTTATTGATGATTACAGTCGTTTCACGTGGGTCTATTTTCTTCGTTCTAAAGTTGATGTGTTTTTAACCTTTAAAACTTTTGTTGCCTATGTAGAAACCCAATTTTCTACCTATATTAAGATCTTAAGCTCAGATTCTGGGGGAGAATACATGTCTCATGCTTTTCAATCTTTTCTCCAATAGAAGGGTATTCTTTCTCAACGTTGGTGTCCTTACACCCCTCAACAAAATGGCGTCACCGAGCGTAAGAATAGACATCTTTTAAATGTTGTTCGTACATTGATACTTAAATCTTCTGTCCCTCCTAGATTTTGGGTAGAAGCATTATCTACAACTATACATTTGATTAATCGTCTGCCTTCTCCTACCTTGCATCTTGATTCTCCATATTCTCGTTTGTTTGGTGTTCCTCCTGATTACAATACTTTGCATGTTTTTGGTTGCGTTTGTTTTGTTCACTTACCTCCCATTGAACGTCAAAAGCTTGCTGCCCAATCTGTTCAATGTGCTTTTCTTGGCTATAGTAATTCTCATAAAGGATTTGTGTGTTATGATGCGGATGCTAACAAACTTCGTATTTCTCGTAATGTGATTTTTTTTGAAAATCAATATTTCTTTGTGTCTCGTACTAATCTTGTTTCCTCCTCTATTTCACTTCCTGTTTTTGATGATGTGTCTAGTACTCCTTCTTGTTTTAAGCCAGGTATTGTGTATCAATGATGTCGCCCACTGTCTCTTCCTTCCTCTGAACCGCCACCTGATCCTGTCTTGCATGAGCCCCGCCAATCTACTAGGGTTTCCCGGCCCCCAAATTGGTATGGTTTTTCTTCTTCTACTCTTCAGGCTACTCTTAATACTTCTTTTGTGCCTAAGTCTTATTCTCAAGCTTCTACTCAAGACTGGTGGCGCCAAGCTATGCAGGACGAACTTCAAGCTCTTCAGGACAATCACACATGGGGCATCGTCCCTTGTCTTGCTGGAGTTAAACCTATTGGGTGCAAATGTGTCTACACCATCAAGCTACGTGCTGAGGACTCTATCGAATGACATAAAGCTCGTCTGGTGGCACTCGGGAATCGGCAGGAGTATGGGCTTGATTATGAGGAAACATTCACTCTTGTGGCCAAAATGACTATTGTCCGCATTGTTATGGCCATTGTTGTTTCAAAAGGATGGTCGCTTCGCCAGATGGATGTGAAGAATGCGTTTCTACATGGTGATATGAAGGAAGAAATATTTATGTCTCCTCCTCTTGGCTTGTTTCCTTCCTCTTCTGTTGAGGTTTGTCGCTTAAAGCGATCTTTGTGTGGTTTGAAGCAAGCACCGCGGTCATGGTTTAAGAAGTTTCGTACCACTCTACTGGATTTCACTTTTACTCAGAGTCAGTATGACTCCTCTTTCTTCTTTCGCAAGACTACCCTTGGGATCGTTATACTTCTTGTGTATGTCGATGATATTATGATTAATGATCTGATCTCCAGTTAATTGACCAACTCCAACAGCGCCTCAAATCTTTGTTTCATATGAAAGATCTTGGTCCACTGCAATATTTTCTTAGACTTGAGGTTCAACATTGTCCAAATGGCACGCTCTTACATCAGCATGAGTGCACCCAAGAACTTCTTTCTTTAGCAGGCCTTCAAGATGGAAATTCAGTTCTTAGTCCTAGTTAGTAAATTCGCGTTTTATACGCGAATTATACGGCTAGCAGTATAATTCCCGTATAAAACGCGAATTCACGTATGTTATGAGGGCTGCCGTATAATTCGCGAATTATATACCCTATCCGTATAATTCGCGAATTATACCCGAATTTTTGCCGAATTTTTGCCGAATTTTTGCAGACAAAAAAATAATTACATGATAAGGCAAAACGACGTCGTTTTGGTGGGGTTTGACTAAAATTAAAAAAAATCTCCTTCTCCTCTTTCTCGGTTCTCTCTTCCACAGTCTTCATCTCTTCTTCAAATCTTCAACAATTCAACTCTTTTTTCTTCATCTCTTGACTCTGAGTCTTGATCTCTTCTTCTCTTCTCTTTTTAAATTTTAACTCTCTTCTCCAAGCTTTAAGTCCAAGACTTCAACTCTTCAAGCCTCAAGCTACACACTTCTTCTCTTCTCTTTTTAACTCTCTTTGAATCTTGTATGTTGGTGATTTGTTTGTGTTTGTGTTGGTGTGTGAGTAGTAGTAATAGGGGCTGGTGGATTGATGGATTTGTTATGTTGGTGGATTGATAGATTTGTTTGAAACATGTTTGATGAAATGCTTGTGAGAGTTATATTTGGTATCTGTTTTAACATAATATTTCATTTAGTTCTGTTGTTTTGTGTTGTATGGGTCAAAATGAAAAGACTAAAGATCATCTATGAAAGCAAAAGGTAAAGGCAAAACTGCAAAAGAAAAGCATGAATTCATAAAAATAATATTGTCGGGCTTGGATTTGGAATTGGCAGATACTTAAAGAAGAAGAAAAAAGCAACAAACCATCAGTTTACAACCAACGCCAACTGCAAATTGTAAACCCATGTGCACTTTGTCATGTTTTTAGATTTCATAACACTATTATTATTTGACCTTTGAATGTACTGTCCAATTAAATTCAGAAAATAAAACAACTATACTAATTGGAATCCAAACTTTGTATGCGTAGCTATAAAATTAAGGATAAAAATACTAGTCTTAGTTATTGTTCAAATATACTTTAAATTAAAAGGAAAATAAATTGTAGGGTCGACCACAATGGATTATTTAAATGGGGATGTTTTGAAAAGTGCTAAAACCAAGATTGCTATTGCCGTATTTTTCAAAACGTATTATTGACAATGTGTCGTATTAAACCCGTATATATCCGAATCGTATTTTTTCCGTATCCGAATTTTATGACCGAATTTTTACAAACGTATTTTTTACCATTTGCCGTATTATACCCGTAAAATTCCCGTACCGTTTTTTTGCCGTACCCGTATTTACTAACTAGGGTTCTTACACCTATGGAGGTCAATTTGAAGCTACGTCAGGCGGATGGTGATCCCTTATCCAATCCTTCAATGTATCTGCAGCTGGTGGGCAATTTGAATTATTTGACCATTTCTCGACCTGATGTCTCATTTGTTGTTCAGTAGGTCAGTTAGTTTATGCAGGCTCCATGCCAGACACATTTGGTTGCTATCCGTCGTCTTCTTCGATATCTCAAAGGGACATCTAGTCACGGCTTGTTTTTTCCCCTCAGGGAATTCTTTACAGTTGAAAGGTTTTAGTGATGCCGACTAGGCTGGTTGTGCAGATACTCGTCGTTCTATTACGGGTTGGTGTATGTTTCTTGGCGATGCCCTCATTTCTTGGAAGAGTAAGAAGCAGACTCGTGTCTCGAAGTCATCCACCAAGTCTGAATATCGGGCTATGTCGTCTGCCTGTTCTAAAATTGTATGGCTTCGAGAGTTGTTAGGCGAACTTAGTGTTCCACAGCTTACTCCTACTCCTCTTCATGCTGATAATACCAGTGCTATTCAGATTGCTGCCAATCATTTTTTTCATGAGCACACCAAACATATTGAAGTGGATTGTCATTCCATTCATGAAGCCTTTGCTCGCCAAGAGATTACTCTTCCACACATTTCCACTGAACACCAAACTGCTGATGTCTTCACCAAGGCTCTCTCTCGTCCTCGCCATCAATTCTTGATTGACAAATTGATGTTTCTCGATCGCCCAGCATCAATTTGAGGGGGGATGTTAGCAGAATTAACAGTTGGATATGTGCTGACCTAGTCTATAAAGGCAGCATATATTATATCCTTTTTTAGTCTAGCTATATATAGAAGAGTATATTATATATATGCATAGAATTGATAGGCGTTTATTCTTACCTTGCATAGTCCTGTGTAATGGTTGATTTTCAGCCTTGTAATTAGCCCCACAGCTTTTATATAAAGGGAGCAACTCTCACAAGGAGAGCATTCAGAATAAAACCTAAATTCACAAAGTAAGAATGTATAGCTCTGTGATAATAGCGTGTAAATGCTTCTGCAATTAGGATAGTATTTAATGCTTTGCATAGTTAGCGTGTGAGTTGTGCGTGTCTGTGTTGTATAGGATGATGTCATCTGTATATAAGCTTCGTTTATGATTAATGAAAACGAGACAAGACAAGACAATTGAGACAAAAAAACTCTCAGCAAACGTTCCCTGAAAAACTTGTCTCTGATAATATTCTTGCATTCTTTCCTTTGAATTCTCCAGCTTATAAACCCAACAGTAATTGTTTATCAAGTATTTGATATATTTCCCGGCTAAACACAAACGTCACTTGCAAACACTACATACTTATGTTTTTTCCATGCAGAAGTAAGATAATTAGCAGAATTAAGATTTTCTTCACATTAATTTTTTTTATTTTCATGACCCATATAGCCTGTTCCTCTCTTTAGCATTGACTTCCCCTGATAAATTTGTGCATCGTTTTCTGGTCAAGTAAGGTGTTTTATGGAGAATAAACTCACAGCCCGAATATTATTGGAGTTTGAACAATTTGTGAAGACTTCACTTAGGCCTTTAGCCATTCAACAAAATGCTTGAAATTATTGTAGGAGTCTCCGCCTTCTTTGATACTGTTCATCGCCCTTTCCTTGAGATCCAAAGCATTTGCTTTATAATTCCCTCTGTCCAGTAGCTCCTCCACTTTATACTGGATTTCTTGTCTTGTAATTATCCCTCTTTCATCTCGGTTGAACCCCAATCCTACCCTCCAAATGTTCCAAATGAAGTTCTCATTATGGAACTGATCTGCGAAATAAGGCCAACACAAGAAAGGGATGCCATTGCTCACACCTTCCATAGTGGAGTTCCATCCACAGTGTTTCATGAAGCAAGCAATGGAAGGATGTTCCAGAACTTTTTGTTGAGGTGCCCAACTAACTATACGCCCTCGAGTGGCAACTCTGTCGAGAAATCCCACCGGGAAGGCATCATTCATGTCAATAGTAATATTTGGACGAACAACCCAGAGGAATGGTCTGTTTGAAAGTTCAAGGCCCTTGGCCAATTCATGGAATTGGGTTTGGTCAAGAATTGATGTACTGCCAAAGGCAACGTATATCACTGATTGTGGTCGTTGTTGATCAAGCCATTTCAAACAAGTTAAGTCTTCTTGCCAGAAGCTTCCTACTGAGTCTCCATGCCTGTTGCTTGCCAAAAGTGGACTTATTGGTGTGATCTTTGGATCGAAGATAAATGCCGCAGGCTCAAAGTCATAAGTTGAATTGCAAAGCACCCAGTCTGTCAATTTTATTGATCTGTCGCTTCTGACCATATTTTCGAAAAACATTATCTGTATTTTCTTGTGGCTAATGCAGGCCCACCCAAGGTATGCTGTGTTCATGGCAGGCATGGTTGGTGACAACTGAAACATCTGTTTTTTTGTTGGAGCTCCTGCAAAAGAAAATGCTAATCAACATGAGTATAGCACTATCACCTCTTAACTGCTTTTATCTAAATTTGAACTTCTAGCCCTTTTCATTGATCTCAATTCTCGATTTTTGTGCATATCTTCTACTAATGAATGTTTGAGTCATTGATAAATCTTTTTTCTGAAATTCTTATTACTGCAAGGAGCTAGAATTCGATTGTGTTTCTTTATGCACTCAAGCATGCACTACTTCCCACTCTTAGAAATGAATGATTAAGGATGCTTCATGCATTAGCTAGATCAATTTCATGATGAAAGTACTGCATATTCTTAAAGAGTAGGTGATTATTGATCTCACCATGACTATCAATAATTCTGTCATCAATCAATTTCCGAAGGCTAGATCTTAAGACCAAATGTGTGGCTGCAGCACAAGAGAAGGCAGCTCGTCGGATTTCTTTCTCTGCTGCAATATCCATGGCCCATCCAAGATTGTGATCTGCTATAACGCAAGTGATCTTTTCAGTGTCTGACGAATTAATTTTTTCAATGAGCTCCTCAAATTTCTTTGGCATAAGCAATAGGACTGATTCACCATGCCTCTCCAGGTTTTTCCTATCCTCTAGAGGTTCAAGGCCATCTTGGATTGAAACAAGATGAATTTGATCCCCTATTCCATCCTTCATTGCCAATGAATCCATTACCTTGCATGAATGTACTCTGTGTTTACAAATGTAATTCTTATGCCATGTTTGACTAAGGATTGTGAAAGCTCCATGAAAGGAATTACATGACCTTGTGCTGGATAAGGTAAAACCAAAACATGTGGATTTCCCATTTGGTTCTCTCTTTTCTTACACTGATTCTTTCCTCAAGATTATTGTTCCTCTTATAGGGAGACTAAAGGTAAGGCCAACTTTGAAGACACCGCCACATTTTTTTCATGTTGCTGGACCTTTATTGAAAGAAAGATTCTCATTCTTTGGTGAGTACTAATTAGTTCAGTTTGTTGAGAATCTCTTATGTTGTACAAGAGGCTCAAACTCTGTAGTGAAGTATAGGCCACATCTGGGAAGCAAGTTTTAAAAATTTACTTTCACATTCTGTTCACAAAATGTCAGCAAATTTTATCTCACTTGTATATTCTTGCAGATGCAGGGCTTTGGATAATAGGGCATAGTGGGGAAAAAATATGGCTTTGGAACAACCAGGTGCTTATTCATATTCAGAATTGCTTGTTCTAGCACAAGCAGCTTATTCACATGTGTCCAAGTATTTTACAACTTTCTAAATAACAATGAACAAACTTTCAGTTTAGCCATCCCTCCATTGAGATTTTGAAAATCATAGTTATAAAGACACAATTAGATAGCTTTGAATTTTTTTAACCAAATTGAATTTAATCCTTGTCTCATTCCTAATGTTGATCCACGTTTGATTAAAAGGCTTTGTCTGGTTGCATTGTTGGCTATTTCATGTTTGATTCCTTATCGGCCAAGGAAACTAAATAAGTGAAAACGTTTTACTTCTTTATCTATATGTAGAGAAAGCCTCATTCTAGCTGCCCCATTGGCTCCCTAGGATTCTTAACTCTTTTCCATAGCTTTCAAAACTTAAGCCAAGAAAATTATAATACTTAAAGCATCCCTTTCAGCTCTAAATATCCCACATAGATGCTACATCAGCTTATATTGAGAACCTTAAACTGAGAGATAAACATTCTTTCTTCCTTATTATACAGTGCAATTTAGATTTTAGTGAAATTTTAGATGAATTCGGAAACTGTCGTAATTTTTTAGGTTTTCTCTAAACTAATTTCTTGACTGTTGAAATATCAATGATAAAATTAAATAAAAGAAGTAGCAAATGTGATATGCTATTCTGCTATTCAGATAGCAAAAGCATCATGCCACTTAACAGGATCTTCTAGCTGTTTTCTATTGCACATTTCTTTATCTTATATATGATATTATTTCATGATAAATGATCAAAAAGAAATCACTATTATTGAACTTTGAGCATTTGTCAACGCTTTAATTAGGCCTTCAGCCATTCAACAAAATTCTTGAAATTATTGCAGGACCCTCCACCTTCTTTGATGCTATTCATTGCCTTTTCCTTGAGATCCATAGCATTTGCTTTATGCCTTCCATTGTCTAGGACTTTGCTTTTAATTTCATCTTGTGCAATGATCCCTTATCATCTACAGTAAATCCTAATCCAACCTTCCAAACATCAGAAATATAGGTCTGGTTGAGGAACTGATCAGCAAAATAAGGCCAACACAAGAATGGGATGCCATTGCTTACACCTTCCATGGTGGAGTTCTATACACAGTGGCTCATGAAGCAAGCAATGGAAGGATGTCCCAGAACCTTTTGTTGAGGTGCCCAATTAATTATATACCCACAAGAGGCAACTCTGTCCAGAAATCCTTCTGGATAGGCTTCATTTATTCCTTTAATATCAGGACGCACAACTAAGAGGAATGGTCTGTTGGAAAGTTCAAGCCCCATGGCCAATTCATGGAACTGGATTTGGTCAAAAATAGTTGTACTTCCAAATGCAGCATATATGACTGATTGTGGTGGCTGTTGATCAAGCCAGTTCAAATATTTTAAGTCTTCTGACCAGAAGCTTCCCACGGAGTCCCCAAGTTGATTGCTTACCGATAGTGGGCCTATAGGTCTGATCTTTGGATCAAAGTCAAATGCTGCTGGCTCAAGGTCATAAGCTGAATTGCAGAGCAGCCAGTCTGACAAATTTAGTAATCTCTTATTTCTAACCGTACTTTCGAAAAAGATTTTCTGCATGGTCTTGTTGCCAATGAAGTCCCACCCTAAGTTGCAGTGTTTACGGCAGGCATGGTTGGTGATAAATGATACATCTGTTTCTTTATTGGAGTTCCTGTCAAGAAAATCTCAATCAAACTTAAGAATGGCATTGCAGTAAACTGTTATTATAACTTTGCTTACTATTTTTGCTTTAAATTTTAACATCTGTTTCATTTTAGAATACTTTAAAGCCCAATAAATAATTATATGCACCTAAAACTATCAGGCCTTGCATTTGTAGTTGACTCCTAGTTTTTACACACCAGGATCTTTATCTTGTCTATAAAAACATGGCACTAAACAGCATAAAATATATGAACTCTCCCTAGCGTACATGTTTTTGGAATGTCTATTTTGCCTCAACTTTATAGTGTTGTATAGATGCATTATATAAAAAATTATTATAATCATCACTGCTAATGGAAAAATTATCTGTAGTTTGTGCATATTTAGTAAAGTAGGATTGTTCGAATTAAAATCCAACTACCACAAGCTGTTTAAGAATGATGTAGATGTTTCAATTTAATGAAATGGTACCGCATAGCTTTCAGTAGTTGGTAATGGATGATCTCACCATCATTATCAATTATTCCTTCATCAATCAACTTTTGGATGTTAGATCTTAAGGCCAATTGTGCTGCTGCAGAATCACAGAAGGCAGCTCGTCGCATTCCCTTCTGTTCTGCAATTTCCATGGTCCATCCAAGAATATGATCTGCTACAACACCAGTGATCTCATCGCACTCTGATGCATTGATTTGTTCAATAAGCTCCTCAACTTTCTTTGGCAAAAACTATAAGACTGATTCAACCTGCTTCTCGATTTTCTTCCTATCCTCCTCAGATTCAATTCCGTCTTGGATCGACACAAGATGAATTTGATTCCCTATACCATCCTTCGTTGCCATGCATCCATTATCTGCTTCTGAATGTGCTCAGTATTGACAAATGTAATTCTTATGCCATGTTTGGCCAAGGACTGTGAAAACTCCATCAAGGGAATAACATGACCTTGTGCTGGTTAAGGAATAACTAAAATATGTGGATTTCCCATATGGTTCTTTGATCATTCTTTTGCTGTACAGTTTCTTTACTTGAGATAAATTTAACTTTTATAGGAGACTGGGGGCACAAACAGCCAATTTTGAAGACATCATCACATTTTCCTTGATTTGTGAGACGGTTAGTCAAGTCTTGAGCCTATGATTTGTCTTCTTTATGCTGTTTTATCTGCCTCAGAATTGTCTAACTGCTTTTGTATCCTCAGTGCCAGGACTTCATGGTGACTTACCCAGTTTGGGCTTATTGGGTTTCACAGTGACTATTTCCCTAGGTTTGGTTTTAGACATTTATGATCTGTAATTCTCTTCCATTTCTTTTTGAACCTTGCAGCATAGAGTCTAGACAGTATGCAAATTGGAGAATTCCTCAGTGACACTATCTCAAGCCTGACGCCGAAAAAGTTGTGGCAGTAAGAGGTACTTATTGATTTGTAATTTCAGAATGGCTTTTTTTTTGTCTTGGCTAAGAAGCTGATTCACACATGGCCAGTATAACTTTATAATGATGTATGATTTCTGTGAAGGCTCTCTTCCTGAAAATTTTTGTGTGTTTTTCATATATGCCTAGACATTATGAAAGTTACATTACACTATTCTAATTAATAAAAGAAAACTTTTAGCTTGGCAGGATCCCAAAATTTTTGTTTTCTGGAAAGACATAAGTTTATGATAGAGGCCTTGAGTTTTAAAACCAGACTTTCAAACTAAGAAGTCTTGTTTTTACCTTAATGCTATCAATGTTTGATAGAAAGGCTTTGTCTTATATACATTGGAGTCTAATTCATGGTTGATTCTTTGTTGGCCAAATATTTAATAATCAAAATGTTTTACTACTTGATCTATATGTGGGGAAAGCCACATCCTAACAATTCTGTTGCTCCTTAGTGTTATAATATTTCCTCATCTCTGAGTAAACAATAATTTACTATCTGAATATTTATTTTGTAGCTTTCAGAACTTAGCCATGAACACTATAAAATTATAAATATTTCTTTTCAGGTCTTATTTTACCACATAGACCCTCCATAAGCTTATGACTAGGGCCCCAACTCTCTGATGCAAATAATTATTTACTGTAATAGATTTTATTCTGCAATTTCAAGACCTGCAGTAAATTTTAAACCATTTTTGTGTATGTACGTTCTTTTAAGCTTTGGATCCCCACCCCCCTTATGAATTTTCTGCGCACTTCTCTGGTGAGTGAACGCCTTTTTTGGTCAGTCGAGTCACAAAGCTTTACGACCTTATCTGGTGCAAGTTGGACGAAGATATAAGCTTTTATCTGTGTAGGGAGGTCCATCAAGGTTTTGCAACTATGCATCATGCAATGTACTACAAGGTAAAAGATGTTTTAGGATTATAACATTTGTGAAATTTGTACATAAAATTTTTTCGAACAAAATTTTGTGAACTATTTGTTTTTGTTACATAGATTCTTCCATGCCAAAACATCATAATGAAGAAAGAAATAACTCATAGCTACAATCTTCTTGAAGTTTGAACAATTTTCAAAGAAATTTACTTATGCCTTCAGCCATTCAACAAAATGCTTCAAATTATTGTAGGAGCGCCCACCTTCTCTGACACTACACATCAATCTTTCCTTGAGATCCAAAGCATTTGTCTTACACTTTTCATTGTTCAGCAGTTCCTCCACTTTAGTTTTAATTTCTTTTCGTGTAATTATTCCTCTTTCATCTCGGTTGAATCCTAATCCAACCTTCCAAACATTGCAAATGTAATTCTCATTGTTCATCTGGTCACCGAAGTAAGGCCAGCACAAGAAAGGGACTCCATTGCTTATACCTTCCATGGTAGAGTTCCATCCACAGTGACTCAAGAAGCAAGCAATGGAGGGATGTTCCAAAACCTTTTGTTGTGGTGCCCAACTAACTATATAGCCACGAGTGGTGATTCTTTCCTGAAATCCTTTCAAATAGGCATCATTTATTCCTTTTGTAATATCAGGACGCACAACTACGAGGAATGGTTTGTTGGAGAGTTCAAGCCCCATGGCCAACTCTTGGAACTGGGTTTGGTTAAAAATAGTCATACTACCAAATGCTACATATATGACAGATTGCTGTAGCTGTTGATCAAGCCATTCCAAGCAAGTGAAGTCCTCTGGCCAGAAGCTTCCTGCTGTGTCTCCAAGTCGATTGCTAGCTAAAAGTGGGCCTATTGGTATGATCTTTGGAAACAAGTTAAACACTCCAGGCTCGAGGTCATAAGTCGAATTGCAGAGCAACCATTCTGATAAATTTATTGATCGATTGTCTCTAACTATATTTTCAAAGAAGAATTTCTGTACTTCCTTGTTGCCAATGCTTATCCACGCAAAGTGTGCAGTGTTCATGGGAGACATGGTTGTTGACAACTGAAACATCTGTTCCTTTATTAGAGTTCCTGCAAAGAAAGCCTCAATTCAAAATTAACCATTGTATGTATAAAACTTGCTAGGCCTCTGGATGAAGAGTAGACTCACCATCATTATCAATTATTCCATCATCAATCAATTTTTGAATGCTAGATCTTATGGCCAATTGAGTGGCTGCAGCAGCACAGAAAGCAGCTCGCCCAATTCCCTTTGCTGCTGCAATTTCCATGGCCCATCCGTGCATGTGATCTGCTACAACACAAGTGATCTTATCACTGTCTGTTGCATTAATTTGTTCAATGAGCTCCTCAACTTTCTTCGGAAATAACTTTAAGACCGATTCAGCGTGCTTCTCTAACTGATACCTATCCTCTGGAGATTCAAGTCCATCTTGGATCGAAACAAGATGAATTTGATTCCCTATACCATCCTTTGTTGCCAAGGCATCGATTACCTTGCTTTTGAATGCCCTCTGTGTTTACAAATGTAATTCTGATGCATGTTTGGCTAAGTATTGAGAAAGCTCCATTAAGGGAATTACATGACCTTGTGCAGGGAAAGGAGAGCCAAAATATGTGGATTTCCCATTTCGATTTTGATTATTTTTTTCCTATACATTTCATTTACTTCAGATGACTAACATTTATGGCGATTGGGTACGCTAACAGCCAAGTTTATCACATTTTCCTCATGTTGTTTGACTTTCTCAAGTCTGACCATATCAATTATCACTTTCAAGTTGCTTTACATCGTTTTCTAACCTTTTTGTGTGTGTGTGTGTGTGTGTGTGTGTGTGTGGGGGGGTGGGTGGGTGTAACCGGAAATTGTAAAATAACTCTTTCCTTGATATACAAATATATATTTTTCTGGTATATCACACCCCTGATATTAAAAGCTGTGGCAATAAGAGGTTCTTACTGTTTTTTTAGTTTCAGAATGGCTTGTTTCTGTCACGGGAAGTTGATTCACATGGGACCTATTTTATACAAGTTTCTGATGATTATCAATCTCTTTAAAGCCTCATGTTTTACTTGCTTGAAAGTTACATTAATAATATTAAATACATATTAAAATGCTTTTAATACTCAATCTATATGTAGTGAAAGCCATTTCAACAACTGCAAAGCTCCTCAGGATTCTAAATTAATTTTTGTCTCGGTATATACAATAATTGACCTTCTGAATATATGTTCTTCAGCTTTCTACCTAACCACATGGACATTATAATTTTTTTTTGACTATCTGTATAAATATGCAGTGAGGTTGTCAAGTTTTTCAAATGATGTGCATGCAGCCCAGTATTATAGTTAGAATTCTGAAAAGTGGAGGTAATTAATTAATTTTACTTAATTTTTTGCTCCTCAACAGATGAAATCTTTTTGTTGGTAAACACAGATGCAGAAGTTGATTCAAGTTTGAAAGTTACCTGCAAATTCTATACCCTAATTCATTGAACAAAACTCTTAAATTTTTTTTCAGATTCCCACAATACATACTGTCTTCTGATTACGTGGTCTTTTGATTAGCCTTTTCTCTCTTTTTTTTTCCAAATGTAAATCATTCAGCCTTGTGAGATTTGAACAATGTGTGAACAACTTCTTTCCTTATGTAAAGAGTTTTGTGCCAAAGGCCCAAAACATCAAATGAAAGAAGGAGTATCACAGTTACAATCTTATTGAAGTTCAAACAATTGAGGGTTTTTCTTAGGCCTTCAGCCATTCAACAAAATGCTTAAAATTATTGTAGGAGGCTCCACCTTCTTTGATGTTATTCATCATCTTTTCCTTGGGGTCCCAAGCATGTGCCTTGTATATGTCCTTGTTAAGCATTCCTGCACTTTATTTTTAATTTCTTCTCGCTAATTATCCCATTTTCCTCTCGGTTGAACCCAATCCAACCTTCCAAACATTGCAAATGTAATTCTCATTGTGCATCTGGTCTCCATACATAGGCCAACACAGGAAGGATACCATTGCTTAGACCTTCCATGGTGGAGTTCCATCCACAGTGGCTTACAAAACAGCAATGGAAGGATGTGCCAGAACCTTCTGTTGAGGCGCCAACTAACTATATACCCATGAGTCCGACTCTGTCTCTGAAATCCTTCCGGAAAGGGATCACTCATGCCATCTATGCAATCAGGGCACAACCCAAGGAATGGTCTATTGAGATTCAACCCCATGGCCAATTCTTGGAACTGGGTTCGATCAAAAATAGTTGTACCACCAAATGCACATATATACTGATTGCGGTTGTTGTTTATCAAGCCATTTCAACAGTCAAGTCTTCTTGCCTGAAGCTTGCTGCAGAGATTCCACAGCGGTTGCTTGCCAAAAGTGGGCCTATTGTGATGAACTTAGGATCAAGTTAAATGCTGCAGGCTCAAGGTCATAATTGAATTGCAAAGCACCAGTTTGATAAGTTATTGCTCTCTTATTTCTAATCACATTTTCAAAAAACAATTTCTGTACTTTCTTGTTGCCAATGCAGGCCCACCCAAGTGTGCTGTGTTCATGGCAGGCATGGTTGGTGACAACTGAAACATCTGTTTCTTCGTTGAGTTCCTGCAAAAAAGTCTCAATCAAAATAAGTATGCCATGAACACACCACTGTTAGTATAATTTTTCACAGAGTTTTTATAGCATCTAGCTTAGTTGATTTTCAGTAACTTCTAGGACCAAACACAAAAATATTTATTTAAAATTTGGTGGATGGAGGGACAGATCTAGGAATAAGATTCTCCAACTCTAACTACTTCAACTGAAGCTTCATTAATCTGAGTTTGAATGATTATTTTATTTATTATGCTAGATGTTGACACAGATATGATCATTACTATGAACCTTTAAATTAATATGCAAATCATCTGACTTTCCCAATACTTCATGATTTTTAGAATATGCAGCTTATGCATAACTATCAATGTTTTGTGCATATTTAGCAGATATGATTTCTTGAATTATTTAAATGATAATTCAATGACATTGTAGTCAAAGTAGTGCATGCTAATCTAGATTGACAATAGATGTTTCACCTTGATTCAATAGCAAGCCTAGCTTCCAAGAGTTAGGTGATGGATAATCTTACCTCATTTTCTATTATTCCTTCTCGATCAACTTTTTAATGCTAAATCTTAAAGCCAAGTGTGTGGCTGCAGTGGAACAAAGAAAGCTCGCTTTAGACCCTTCTCGGCTGCAATTTCCATGGCCCATCCAAATTTTGATCTGCAACAATACAAGGATCTTATCACTGTTAGATGAATCAATTTGCTCCATGAGCTCCCGGACTTTCTTTGGCATGATCCAGAGGACGGATTCACATGCTTCTTATTGATTCCTGTCCTCCGGAGATTCAAGTTCATCTTGTATTGAAACAAGATGAACTTGATTCCCTACACCTTCGTTCTTACCACTTCTGTACATGCTTATGAGTATACTCAGTGTTTACAAATGTAATTCTGATGCCATCTTTGGCCAAGGATTGTGCAAGCTCATTAAAGGAATTATATGGCTTTGTACTGGATAGGGTATAACCAAAACATGTGGATTTCCCATTTGACTCTCTCTTTTGCTATGCACTTATTTTCTTGAGATATGCCAATTTTTATAGGGATATCAGGGAGGAACGTTACATGAGCAATAAAAAACAGAAATATAATAATGAAAGGGACCATTGTGTTCCAATGAAAATCTAGGAACCTTTTTCTTCGTTTTCTCATACAATCTGCTAAAGCATCTTAGTTTTTAAAAGCTTGAAACTATAATAACCTTACCTGCTCCTGAATGTTGTCTATAAAGACACACTTCTCTGATACAGACCTTGAATTTTTTAACCGAAATTCAAATAGCTTCACTTATCTCTTATGTCGGCTCATGTTTGGAAGAAATATTTTGTCTGTTGACAGTGGGCTAGTTTATGTATATTCTTTCTGTCTAAAAAATCTAATAAGTGAAACACTACAGTACTTGATCTATGTTGGATTATACCATATTTGGTTTTTGCTTTTACAGAAAGGCTTTGTCTAGACTAATTCATATTAGATTCTATGTTTAAAAAATGCATTAGTTAAACACTTTAATATTGTAAACAACCTTCAGTTATGTATATATATGGAAGTTGAATACTTAATACAGATTCTGTAGCTTTTAGAACTAGCCATGAAAATATTCTGACATCCATTCAGTTTCAGGTCTAGTTTGGAAAATAGGCCATTTATAAGCTTTTACTGGGACTGATGAAGTCATGATGCTTTGCTGGAAATGCAATGTTCAAGGACTGAAGTTTGATTAATTTTTGGTGCCATGAAGAGAAGTGCATTGTACTGTGCTGGAAGCAGTAGCTTAGGGGCAGCTGGATAACCCTTTTGTGTATGATGTATTTAGTGAGAGTCTGAATGTGAGGCTTTATGTCTCTTAATTGTAATTACTTGTTCAAATTGTGTGGTTTAGCTTTAATCATGTAAAAAGTTCACTGCTGTAGTAGTTGTAACAGTGAGCTGGTGAAGTATTATATTATGTATTTGGTTTGCTTAATGGAATGTATGCAGTTTGTACTCTTCTGGTTTTTCTTTCTTTGCACAATTCGGCACTCCAAACCAACAAAATGGTATCAGAGCCATCTCACCAAACCTCCATATAAACTAAAAAAACTGACCTTGAATCATCATCAACCTCTAGCCTCCTTAAAGAACAACTCTGTCCCAAACTATAACCTATGTTCATGGCAGCTCAGTCAGCCTCCCTTTCACCGCCAGTGTTCAATGGTGAGCAATACCATATTTGGGCTATTAGAATGAAAGCCTATCTAAGAGGGCAGGGGCTCTGGCAGTATGTTGAGGAAGAGAAACAACCTCCACAGCTGGGTCCAAACCCCACTCTGAATCAAATGAGGTTGTATGAAGAAGAAATGTCAAAGGCTCCAAGGGCTCTATCTCACATACATTCAGCAGTGACAGAACTTGTGTTTACAAGGATAATGGCATGTGAAACAACAAAAGAAGCATGGGATAAGCTGAGAGAGGAGTTCACGGGAAGTGATACAACAAGGAACATACAAGTGATGAACTTGAGGAGAGAATTTGAGATGTTGAGAATGCAGGAAGTTGAGAAAGTGAAAGAATATGTGGATAGGCTTATGAGTATGGTTAATAAGATCAGGCTACTTGGAGTAGAAATGAGTGATAAAGTGATTGTTGAGAAGGTGCTAGTAAGCTTACCCGAGAGGTTTGAATCCAAGATTTCCTCTCTAGAAGACTCCAAGGACCTGTCACAAATCAACCTCACTGAGTTAGTCCATGCACTGTAGGCTCAAGAACAAAGAAGATTAATGAGGCAGGAGGATGCTAATGAAGGTGCTATGATGGCAGCTCAAAAAGGAAGGAATGTGCAGGGGAATAATAGAAGGTATGCCGGAAACAAGAAAGGGAAAGAAAAAACCAGTGGACAATGGGGAAAACCTAGTGGAACAAGGAGCTATCCACCATGTCCTCACTACAAGAAGAAGGGTCACTCAGAGAACAGGTGTTGGTTTAGGCCTGGGATCCAATGTGGGGCCTGCAAACAATTTGGCCACATTGAGAAGGTGTGCAAGAACAAAGGTACACAGCCGCCATAGCAAGCTCAATCTGTAGAGGATCAACAGCATGGCAGTGAGTCTGAACAATTGTTTGTAGCTTCATGTTACACAGTTCAGACCAGCAGTGAAGTGTGGTTGATAGACAGTGGCTGCACCAACCACATGGCAGTCAATTTGCAGAATTTCATTAGGTTGGACAAGACTTACAACTCCAGAGTCAAAATTGGGAATGGAGAATATGTGGAGGCCAAAGGAATTGGAGATGTTGCTGTCCTAACACAATCAGGTACCAAAGTTATCTCAAGTGTTTTATATGTACCAGAAATTACACAAAACTTATTGAGTGTAGGACAAATGCTAGAAAAGAATTATACCTTGCATTTTCAAAACCAATCATGCATCATACTAGACAGTGAGGGAAATGAGCTGATGAATGTGAGAATGTTGGGAAATAGCTTCCCGGTAGAGTGGAAAAAGTCTGAAAATTATGCACTGACCAGTAGATCTGAAGAGTCTGAACTTTGGCACAAAAGACTTGGCCATTTCCACTACTTAGGTCTCAAAGAACTTAGAAGTAGAGACATGGTCCTAGACTTACCTGAAATAGAAAAGAAGAAGAATCTTTACACAGCCTGCCAACTTGGCAAACTCACCAGACCATCATTTCTATCAGACCAGGCCTGGAAAGCCAATGACAAATTGTAGTTGATCCACACAGATGTGTGTGGTCCTATGAAGACTGAATCTCTGAATGGAAGTAGGTACTTTATAGTATTTATTGATGACTTCTCCAGGATGGCCTGTGTATATTTCTTGAAGCAGAAAAATGAAGTAGCTGCTATATTTAGAAAATTCAAGCTGCTGGTGGAGAATCAAGCTGGGACAATGATCAAAGCCATAAGGAGTGACAATGGGACAGAATACACATCAAGTGAATTCAGTTCAATCTGCCAAGAAGTTGGAATTCAGCACCAGTTTACTACTCCTTACACCCTATAGCAGAATGGGGTCAGTGAAAGGAGAAACAGAACCATCATAAAGATGACAAGATGTATGATGGCAGAGAAGAAGCTCCCCAAGAAGTTATGGGTTGAGGCTGTTAATACAAGAGTTTATCTCCCAAACAGACTGCCAACTAAAGCAGTCAAGAACCAAACTCCAGTTGAAGCCTGGAGTGGAATTAAACCAGCAGTGGGCAACCTGAGGATATTTGGGATTATATGTTATGTCATGGTTCCAGCAAGCAAGAGAACTAAGTTGGATGACAAGGCTGAGGTAGTAATTTTCATAGGATACAGTAGTCAATCCAAAGGTTACAGAGTTTACATCCCTAAGTCTAAGAAAATTGTGATTACAAGGGATGTAAAGGTGGATGAAACTGCAATTTGGAATTGGGAAGAGAAGAGAATAGATGAGGGAATTAAGCCAAGGCAGGAAGAGATAAGAGGGGAGCTGATCCGAGAGGCAAATTCTGATGAAGAGGAAGAACCTTCAGTGAGAGGAACTAGATCCTTAGCTGAAGTGTATGAAAGATGTAATGTGGCTATAGTTGAACCCAAAATTACAATGAAGCTGCAAAGTCAGAAGTATGGAAGGCTGCAATGTAGGAGGAGCTTTCCATGATAGAGAAGAACAACACCTAGAAATTGGTAGACAGACCAGAAAAAAGGAAGGTGATCCAAGTGAAATGGATTTACAAGCTAAAAGTTAACCCTGATGGATCAGTCCATAAACATAAGGCAAGACTTATGGTTAAAGGTTTTGCACAGTAGCAAGGGATTGATTTTTTTGACACTTTTGCTCCTGTAGCCAGGCATGACACCGTCAGACTATTACTTGCACTTGCAGCTCAATTTGATTGGAAAATTTCCAGTTGGATGTTAAATCAGCATTCTTGAATGGTTGGATTACAGAGGAGATATATGTGGAGCAGCCGGAAGGCTATAAGGTTAAAGGAAAAGAGGACCAAGTGTATCTGCTGAGAAAGGCTTTGTATGGCCTAAAGAAGGCTCTTAGAGCCTGGTACAACCGGATAAATGACCACTTATGCAATCTAGGATACACTAGGAGTCCTAATGAACACACACTCTATGTTAGGAAGACTGAAAGTGGATTGATTGTGGTTTCTTTATATGTTGATGACCTGCTGATTACTGGAAGCAATTCTAAAGAACTGAATCAATTCAAGACAGCCATGCAAAATGAGTTTGAAATGACAGACTTGGGGCCAATGACTTACTTTCTTGGCATGGAGATAAGTTAGTCTCCAAATGGAATTTTCATGTGCCAGCAGAGGTATGCAACTAAGATACTGATGAAATTTGGCATGGAAAGTTACAAACCAATAGATACCGCACTGGTTCCCAACCTGAAACTGAGTAAAGAAGATGGTGCAGAGAGAGTGGATGAGGGAAAATACAGAAGTCTGGTAGGCTGTCTGCTGTATCTCACAACCACTAGGCCTGATCTCATGTTCACTGCAAGCTACCTTTCCAGGTTCATGAGTAACCCAAGTAAGCTGCATTTTAAAGCATCCAAGAGAGTCATGAGGTATGTGAGAGGAAGCACCATGTTGGGCATCTGGTTTAAGAAATCAGAAAACTTGAAGCTGCTAGGGTATACTGACAGTGACTGGGGTGGTTCTCTGGATGACCTGAAGAGCACCTCTGGTTATGTGTTTTACATAAACACAGGTGCAGTTTGTTGGCTTTCAAAGAAGCAAGAGATTGTGGCTCAGTCCACTGCTGAAGCAGAGTACATCTCTACAGCAGTAGCAGTAAACCAAGCTGTATGGCTAAGGAAAATTCTGAATGATTTGCAGCAAGTTCAGGGAAGTCCAACACTGATTTTGTGTGATAATCAGTCTGCTGTAGCCATAGCCAAAAATCTTGTACTCTACGGCAGAACCAAACACATTAAGATTAAGTTTCATGCCGTGAGGGAAGTTGAACAATGTGGGGAAGTCAGTTTGGTGCACTGCAGAGGAGAAAATCAAGTTGCAGACATTATGAATAAAGCCTTGTCCAAAGCCAAGTTTGAAGACTTAAGGCTAAAACTTGGTTTTTCCAGCAAAAGCATCAAGGAGGAGTGATGAAGTCATGATGCTTTGCTAGAAATGCAATGTTCAAGGACTGAAGTTTGAAGTTAATTTTTGGCGCCAATGAAGAGAAGTGCATTGTGCTATGCTGGAAGCAGTAGCTTAGGGGCAGCTGGATAACCCTTTTGTGTTATGATGTATTTAGGTGAATGCAGCTGAATGTGAGGCTTTATGTCATAATATGGAAGTTGAATATCTTAATACAGATTCTGTAGCTTTTAGAACTCAGCCAGAAAATATCTGACATCCATTTCAGTTTCAGGTCTGAATTGGAAAATCGCAATATAAGCTTTTAACTGGGACTGATGAAGTCATGATGCTTTGCTGGAAATGCAATGTTCAAGGACTGAAGTTTGAATTAATTTTTGGTGCCAATGAAGAGAAGTGCATTGTACTGTGCGGAAGCAGTAGCTTAGGGGCAGCTGGATAACCCTTTGTGTATGATGTATTTAGGTGAATGAGCTGAATGTGAGGCTTTATGTTTAATTGATTACATTTGTTCAAATTGTGTGGTTTAGCTTTATCATGTAAAAAGTTCAATGCTGTAGTAGTTGTAACAGTGAGCTGGTGAAGTATTATATTATGTATTGGTTTGCTTAATGGAATGTATGAGTTTGTACTCTCTGGTTTTCTTTCTTTGCACAATTCGGCACTCCAAACCAACAAAATGGTATCAGAGCCATTCACCAAACCTCCATATAAACTAAAAAAACTGACTGAATCATCATCAACCTCTAGCTCCTTAAAGAACAACTCTGTCCCAAACTATAACCTTGTTCATGGCAGTCAGTCGCCTCCCTTTCACCGCCAGTGTTCAATGGTGAGCAATACCATATTGGGCTTAGAATGAAAGTCATCTAAGAGGGGGGGCTGCAGTATGTTGAGGAAGAGAAACAACCTCCACAGCTGGGTCCAAACCCCACTCTGAATCAAATGAGGTTGTATGAAGAAGAAATGTCAAAGGCTCCAAGGGCTCTATCTCACTACATTCGCAGTGAAGAACTTGTTACAAGGATAATGGCATGTGAAACAAAAAAAAGCATGGGATAAGCTGAGGAGGAGTTCACGGAAGTGATACAACAAGGAACATACAAGTGATGAACTTGAGGAAGAATTGAGATGTTGAGAATGCAGGAAGTTGAGAAAGTGAAAGAATATGTGGATAGGCTTATGAGATGGTTAATAAGATCGGCTACTTGGAGTAGAAATGAGTGATAAAGTGATTGTTGAGAAGGTGTAGTAAGCTTACCGAGAGGTTGAATCCAAGATTTCCCTCTAGAAGACTCCAAGGACCTGTCACAAATCAACCTCACTGAGTTAGTCCATGCATGAGGTCAAGAACAAGAAGATTAATGAGGCAGGAGGATGCTTATGAAGGTGCTATGATGGCAGCTCAAAAAGGAAGGAATGTGCAGGGGAATAATAGAAGGTATGCCGGAGGAACAGAAAGGGAAAGAAAAAACCAGTGGACCTGGGGAAAACCTAGTGGAACAAGGAGCTATCACCATGTCCTCACTACAAGAAGAAGGGTCACTCAGAAAGGGTTGGTTAGGCCTGGGATCCAATGTGGGTCTGCAAACAATTTGGCCCCATTGAGAAGGTGTGCAAGAACAAAGTAACAGCCCCAAGCAAGCTCAATCGTAGGGATCAACAGCAGGCAGTGAGTCTGAACAATTGTTTGTAGCTTCATGGTAAAGTTCAGACCAGCGTGAAGTGTGGTTGAAGACAGTGGCTGCACCAACACATGGCAGCAATTTGAACTTTATAGGTTGACAAGACTTACAATCCAGAGTCAAAATTGGGAATGGAGAATATGTGGGGGCCAAAGGAAATGGAGATGTTGCTGTCCTAACACAATCAGGTACCAAAGTTATCTCAAGTGTTTATATGTACAGAAATTACACAAAACTTATTGAGTGTAGGACAAAGCTAGAAAGAATTATACCTTGCATTTTCAAAACCAATCATGATCATACTAGACAGTGAGGGAAATGAGTGATGAATGTGAGAATGTTGGGAAAAGCTTCCCGGTAGAGTGGAAAAAGTCTGAAAATTAGCACTGACCAGTAGGTCTGAAGAGTCTGAACTTTGGCACAAAAGACTTGGCCATTTCCACTACTTAGGTCTCAAAGAACTTAGAGAGTAGAGACATGGTCCTAGACTTCGAAATAGAAAAAAGAAGAATTTTCGCACAGCCTGCCAACTTGGCAAATCAGCAGACCATCATTTCTATCAACCAGCCTGGAAGCCAAGAAATGTAGTTGATCCACACAGATGTGTGTGGTCCTATGAAGATGAATCTCTGAATGGAAGTAGGTACTTTATAGTATTATGATGATGAGGGTTTTTCTTAGGCCTTCAGCCATTCAACAAAATGCTTAAAATTATTGTAGGAGGCTCCACCTTCTTTGATGTTATTCATCATCTTTTCCTTGAGGTCCCAAGCATTTGCCTTGTATATGTCCTTGTTAAGCAGTTCCTGCACTTTATTTTTAATTTCTTCTCGCATAATTATCCCATTTTCCTCTCGGTTGAACCCCAATCCAACCTTCCAAACATTGCAAATGTAATTCTCATTGTGCATCTGGTCTCCATACATAGGCCAACACAAGGAAGGGATACCATTGCTTAGACCTTCCATGGTGGAGTTCCATCCACAGTGGCTTACAAAACAAGCAATGGAAGGATGTGCCAGAACCTTCTGTTGAGGCGCCCAACTAACTATATACCCATGAGTCGCGACTCTGTCTTGAAATCCTTCCGGAAAGGGATCACTCATGCCATCTATGCAATCAGGAGGCACAACCCAGAGGAATGGTCTATTGGAGAGTTCAAGCCCCATGGCCAATTCTTGGAACTGGGTTCGATCAAAAATAGTTGTACCACCAAATGCAACATATATGACTGATTGCGGTTGTTGTTTATCAAGCCATTTCAAACAAGTCAAGTCTTCTTGCCTGAAGCTTGCTGCAGAGATTCCACAGCGGTTGCTTGCCAAAAGTGGGCCTATTGGTATGAACTTAGGATCAAAGTTAAATGCTGCAGGCTCAAGGTCATAAGTTGAATTGCAAAGCACCCAGTTTGATAAGTTTATTGCTCTCTTATTTCTAATCACATTTTCAAAAAACAATTTCTGTACTTTCTTGTTGCCAATGCAGGCCCACCCAAAGTGTGCTGTGTTCATGGCAGGCATGGTTGGTGACAACTGAAACATCTGTTTCTTCGTTGGAGTTCCTGCAAAAAAAGTCTCAATCAAAAGTAAGTATGCCATGAACAGCCAACTGTTAGTATAATTTATTCACTAGAGTTTTTATAGCATCTAGCTCTAGTTGATTTTCAGTAACTTCTAGGACCAAACACAAAAATATTTATGTATAAAAATTTGGTGGGATGGAGGGACAGATCTAGGAATAAGATTCTCCAACTCTAACTACTTTCAAACTGAAGCTTCATTAATCTGAGTTTGAATTGATTATTATTATTATTATGCTAGATGTTGACACAAGATATGGATCATTACTATGAACTCTTTAAATTAATATGCAAATCATCTGACTTTCCCAATACTTGCATGATTTTTAGAAATATGCAGCTTATGCATAACTATCAATGTTTTGTGCATATTTAGCAAAGTATGATTTCTTGAATTATTTAAATGAATAATTCAATGACATTGTAGTCAAAGTAGTGCATGCTAATCTAGATTGACAATAGATGTTTCACTTGATTCAATAGCAACGCCTAGCATTCCAAGAGTTAGGTGATGGATAATCTTACCATCATTTTCTATTATTCCTTCATCGATCAACTTTTTAATGCTAAATCTTAAAGCCAAGTGTGTGGCTGCAGTGGAACAGAAGAAAGCTCGCTTTAGACCCTTCTCGGCTGCAATTTCCATGGCCCATCCAAAATTTTGATCTGCAACAATACAAGTGATCTTATCACTGTTAGATGAATCAATTTGCTCCATGAGCTCCCGGACTTTCTTTGGCATGATCCAGAGGACTGATTCGACATGCTTCTCTAATTGATTCCTGTCCTCCGGAGATTCAAGTTCATCTTGTATTGAAACAAGATGAACTTGATTCCCTACACCTTCGTTCTTTACCAATGCTTCTGTGACTTGCTTATGAGTATACTCAGTGTTTACAAATGTAATTCTGATGCCATCTTTGGCCAAGGATTGTGCAAGCTCCATTAAAGGAATTATATGGCTTTGTACTGGATAGGGTATAACCAAAACATGTGGATTTCCCATTTGACTCTCTCTTTTGCTATGCACATTATTTTCTTGAGATTATTGCCAATTTTTATAGGGATATCAGGGAGGAACGTTACATGAGCAATAAAAAACAGAAAATATAATAAATGACAAGGGGACCATTGTGTTCCAATGAAAATCTAGGAACCTTTTTTCTTCGTTTTCTCATACAATCTGCTAAAGCATCTTAGTTTTTAAAAGGCTTGAAACTATAATAACCTTACCTGCTCCTGAATGTTGTCTATAAAGACACACTTCTCTGATACAGACCTTGAATTTTTTAACCGAAATTCAAAGTAAGCTTCACTTATCTCTTATGTCGGCTCATGTTTGGAAGAAATATTTTGTCTTGTTGACAGTGGAGGCTAGTTTATGTTAGATTCTTTCTGTCTAAAAAATCTAATAAGTGAAACACTACAGTACTTGATCTATGTTGGATTATACCATATGTTGGTTTTTGCTTTTACAGAAAGGCTTTGTCTTGTTGGCAGTGGAGGCTAATTCATATTAGATTCTATGTTTAAAAAATGCAATTAGTTAAACACTTTAATATTGTAAACAACCTTCAGTTATGTATATATATGGAAGTTGAATATCTTAATACAGATTCTGTAGCTTTTAGAACTCAGCCATGAAAATATTCTGAACATCCATTCCAGTTTCAGGTCTGAATTTGGAAAATAGGCCATTTATAAGCTTTTAACTGGGACTGATGAAGTCATGATGCTTTGCTGGAAATGCAATGTTCAAGGACTGAAGTTTGAAGTTAATTTTTGGTGCCAATGAAGAGAAGTGCATTGTACTGTGCTGGAAGCAGTAGCTTAGGGGCAGCTGGATAACCCTTTTGTGTTATGATGTATTTAGGTGAATGCAGCTGAATGTGAGGCTTTATGTCTCTTAATTGCATTACATTTGTTCAAATTGTGTGGTTTAGCTTTAATCATGTAAAAAGTTCACTGCTGTAGTAGTTGTAACAGTGAGCTGGTGAAGTATTATATTATGTATTTGGTTTGCTTAATGGAATGTATGTAGTTTGTACTCTTCTGGTTTTTCTTTCTTTGCACAATTCGGCACTCCAAACCAACAAAATGGTATCAGAGCCATCTCACCAAACCTCCATATAAACTAAAAAAACTGACCTTGAATCATCATCAACCTCTAGCCTCCTTAAAGAACAACTCTGTCCCAAACTATAACCTGTGTTCATGGCAGGTCAGTCGGCCTCCCTTTCATCGCCAGTGTTCAATGGTGAGCAATACCATATTTGGACTGTTAGAATGAAAGTCTATCTAAGAGGGCAGGGGCTCTAGCAGTATGTTGAGGAAGAGAAACAACCTCCACAGCTGGGTCCAAACCCCACTCTGAATCAAATGAGGTTGTATGAAGAAGAAATGTCAAAGGCTCCAAGGGCTCTATCTCACGTACATTCGGCAGTGATAGAACTTGTGTTTACAAGGATAATGGCATGTGAAACAGCAAAAAAAGCATGGGATAAGCTGAGAGAGGAGTTCACAGGAAGTGATACAACAAGGAACATGCAAGTGATGAACTTGAGGAAAGAATTTGAGATGTTGAGAATGCAGGAAGTTGAGAAAGTGAAAGAATATGTGGATAGGCTTATGAGGATGGTTAATAAGATCGGGCTACTTGGAGTAGAAATGAGTGATAAAGTGATTGTTGAGAAGGTGCTAGTAAGCTTACCCGAGAGGTTTGAATCCAAGATTTCCTCTCTAGAAGACTCCAAGGACCTGTCACAAATCAACCTCACTGAGTTAGTCCATGCACTGCAGGTTCAAGAACCAAGAAGATTAATGAGGCAGGAGGATGCTAATGAAGGTGCTATGATGGCAGCTCAAAAAGGAAGGAATGTGCAGGGGAATAATAGAAGGTATGCCGGAGACAAGAAAGGGAAAGAAAAAACCAGTGGACAATGGGGAAAACCTAGTGGAACAAGGAGCTATCCACCATGTCCTCACTACAAGAAGAAGGGTCACTCAGAAAACAGGTATTGGTTTAGGCCTGGGATCCAATGTAGGGTCTGCAAACAATTTGGCCACATTGAGAAGGTGTGCAAGAACAAAAGTACACAGCCACCACAGCAAGCTCAATCTGCAGAGGATCAACAGCATGGCAGTGAGTCTGAACAATTGTTTGTAGCTTCATGTTATATAGTTCAGACCAGCAGTGAAGTGTGTTTGATAGACAGTGGCTGCACCAACCACATGGCAGCCAATTTACAGAATTTCATTAGGTAAGACAAGACTTACAGCTCCAGAGTCAAAATTGGGAATGGAGAATATGTGGAGGCCAAAGGAATTGGAGATGTTGCTGTCCTAACACAATCAGGTACCAAAGTTATCTCAAGTGTTTTATATGTACCAGAAATTACACAAAACTTATTGAGTGTAGTACAAATGCTAGAAAAGAATTATACCTTGCATTTTCAAAACCAATCATGCATCATACTAGACAGTGAGGGAAATGAGCTGATGAATGTGAGAATGTTGGGAAAGAGCTTCCCGGTAGAGTGGAAAAAGTCTGAAAATTATGCACTGACCAGTAGGTCTGAAGAGTCTGAACTTTGGCACAAAAGACTTGGCCATTTCCACTACTTAGGTCTCAAAGAACTTAGGAGTAGAGACATGGTCCTAGACTTACCTGAAATAGAAGAAAAGAAGAATCTCTGCACAGCCTGCCAACTTGGCAAACTCAGCAGACCATCATTTCCATCAAACCAAGCCTAGAGAGCCAATGACAAATTGCAGTTGATCCACACAGATGTGTGTGGTCCTATGAAGATTGAATCTCTGAATGGAAGTAGGTACTTTATACTATTTATTGATGACTTATCCAGGATGGCCTGTGTATATTTCCTGAAGCAGAAAAATGAAGTAGTTGATATATTTAGAAAATTCAAGCTACTGGTGGAGAATCAAGCTGGGACAATGATCAAAGCCATAAGGAGTGACAATAGGACAGAATACACATCAAGTTAATTCGGTTCAATCTGCGAAGAAGCTGGAATTCAGCACCAGTTTACTACTCCTTACACCCTATAGCAGAATGGGGTTAGGGAAAAGAGAAACAGAACCATCATAGAGATGGCAAGATGTATGATGGCAAAGAAGAATCTCCCCAAGAAGTTATGGGTTGAGGCTATCAATACAGGAGTTTATCTCCTAAACAGACTGCCAACTAAAGCAGTCAAGAACCAAACTCCAGTTGAAGCCTGGAGTGGAATTAAACCAGCAGTAGGCAACCTGAGGATATTTAGGATTATATGTTATGTCATGGTTCCAGCAAGCAAGAGAACTAAGTTGGAGTAGTCAATCCAAAGGTTACAGAGTTTACATCCCTGAGTCTAAGAAAATTGTGATTACAAGGGATGTAAAGGTGGATGAAACTGCAATTTGGAATTGGGAAGAGAAGAGAATAGATGAGGGAATTAAGCCAAGGCAGGAAGAGACAAGAGGGGAGCTGATCCGAGAGGCAAATTCTGATGAAGAGGAAGAACCTTCAGTGAGAGGAACTAGATCCTTAGCTGAAGTGTATGAAAGATGTAATGTGGCTATGGTTGAACCCCAAAATTACAATGAAGTTGCAAAGTCAGAAGTATGGAAGGCTGCAATGCAGGAGGAGCTTTCCATGATAGAGAAGAACAACACCTAGAAATTGGTAGACAGACCAGAAAAAAGGAAGGTGATCCAAGTGAAATGGATTTACAAGCTGAAAGTTAACCCTGATGGATCAGTCCATAAACATAAGGCAAGACTTGTGGTTAAAGGTTTTGCACAGTAGCAAGGGATTGATTTTTTTGACACTTTTGCTCCTGTAGCCAGGCATGACACCATCAGACTATTACTTGCACTTGCAGCTCAATTTGACTGGAAAATTTTCTAGTTGGATGTTAAATCAGCATTCTTGAATGGCTGGATTATAGAGGAGATATATGTGGAGCAGCCGGAAGGCTATAAGGTTAAAAGAAAAGAGGACCAAGTGTATCTACTGAGAAAGGCTTTGTATGGCCTAAAGAAGGCTCCTAGAGCCTGGTACAACCGGATAAATGACCACTTATGCAATCTAGGATACACTAGGAGTCATAATGAACGCACACTCTATGTTGGGAAGATTGAAAGTGGATTGATTGTGGTTTCTTTATATGTTGATGACCTGCTGATTAGTGGAAGCAATTCTAAAAAACTGAATCAATTCAAGACAGCCATGCAAAATGAGTTTGAAATGACAGACTTGGGGCCGATGACTTACTTTCTTGGCATGGAGATAAGTTAGTCTCCAAATGGAATTTTCATGTGCCAGTGGAGGTATGCAACTAAGATACTGATGAAATTTGGCATGGAAAGTTGCAAACCAGTAGATACCCCACTGGTTCCCAACCTGAAACTGAGTAAAGAAGATGGTGTAGATAGAGTGGATGAGGGAAATACAGAAGTCTGGTAGGTTGTCTGCAGTATCTCACAACCACTAGGCCTGATCTCATGTTCACTGCAAGCTACCTTTCCAGGTTCATGAGTAACCCAAGTGAGCTGCATTTTAAAGCATCCAAGAGAGTCATGAGGTATGTGAGAGGAAGCACCATGTTGGGCATCTGGTTTAAGAAATCAGAAAACTTGAAGCTGCTGGGGTATATTGACAGTGACTGGGGTGGTTCCCTGGATGACCTGAAGAGCACCTCTAGTTATGTGTTTTACATAAACACAGGTGCAGTTTGTTGGCTATCAAAGAAGCAAGAGATTGTAGCTCAGTCCACTGCTGAAGCAGAGTACATCTCTGCAGCAGTAGCAGTAAACCAAGCTGTATGGCTAAGGAAAATTCTGAATGATTTGCAGCAAGTTCAGGGAAGTCCAACACTGATTTTGTGTGATAATCAGTCTTCTGTAGCCATAGCCAAAAATCTTGTACTCTACGGCAGAACCAAACACATTAAGATTAAGTATCATGCCGTGAGGGAAGTTGAACAATGTGGGGAAGTCAGTTTGGTGCACTGCAGAGGAGAAAATCAAGTTGCAGACATTATGAATAAAGCCTTGTCCAAAGCCAAGTTTGAAGACTTAAGGCTAAAACTTGATTTTTCCAGCAAAAGCATCAAGGAGGAGTGATGAAGTCATGATGCTTTGCTAGAAATACAATGTTCAAGGACTGAAGTTTGAAGTTAATTTTTGGCGCCAATGAAGAGAAGTGCATTGTGCTATGCTGGAAGCGGTAGCTTAGGGGCAGCTGGATAACCCTTTTGTGTTATGATGTATTTAGGTGAATGCAGCTGAATGTGAGTCTTTATGTCTCTTAATTGTATTACATTTGTTCAAATTGTGTGGTTTAGCTTTAATCATGTAAAAAGTTCACTGCTGTAGTAGTTGTAACAGTGAGCTGGTGAAGTTTTATATTATGTTTTTGGTTTCCTTAATGGAATGTATGCAGTTTGTACTCTTCTGGTTTTTCTTTCTTTGCACAATTCGGCACTCCAAACCAACAGGGACACCACACTGATAACAGTTACTAATTTTATTATATATGTTTACTCTCCAACTCCAAGAGCTCCTAGAAATTTTGAACTTTTCGATGTACATATTTATACATGGTGTACATCATAATCATAGAACCTTGAAGAGCAATTAATTAGAATTCTGCAGAATTAATTTGAAATCACTTAGCATGTGAAGTTTTTGAGCATGTTTCATGGCATTCTGCTTTGGTTTTAATCTAATGAGAATGTTTTTATGAATGTTTATATATATAACTTTTCTGTTGGGTACAAGTTCAGTTCACCTTTCAAACATCATGTTCTCTGGCAGAAAAAACTGGTTAGCTAAGTAATCGTAATATCCCCTAACCGCCTTCTTCAGTGAGGTTTAGAGAATTACATAACTCATTTCCATGGATGATATCCCAGATTTAAATCATTATAGTAATGCCCTTGGTGTAGTCCATCACTTATTTTTTTATTCCTACAACCATGACTTAAATCAATGAAAAAAAATATACATGGCATATGGTCATATTCCAACAACTTTAACAGCTTCTTTATATTCTAAATTATTTTCATCTCTGCATATGTGATAATTTTGACTTATTGAATATATCTTGGGCACCTTTCTTAGCTTAGCAATGGAAACTAATATTTTGAACACCCTTTTCAGTTCGCATTATTTTCTTCATTTAATGGTTATTCAAAGAAGTCAGGTACAAATTCAAGTTTGAAAATTTACGTGGAGAATTCACTTATGTCTTTAACCATTCAATGAAATTCTTAAAATTTTTATAAGATTCACCCCCTTCCTCGATGTTGTTCAACACCATTTCCTTGAGTTTCAAGGCCTTTTCTTTATACTCTTCATTCTCTAGTAGTTGCTCCACCTTACTCTTGATTTCATCTCGTGTGATGATCCCTTTCGCGTCTCGAGTAAATCCCAATCCAACCTTCCACACATCACAAATGTAGCTGCGGTTGAGGAACTGATCAGCGAAATAAGGCCAGCACAAGAAAGGGACACCATTGCTTACACCTTCCATGGTGGAGTTCCATCCGCAGTGACTTATGAAGCAAGCAATTGAAGGATGTCTCAAAACCTTCTGTTGAGGTACCCAACTAACTATCTTCCCATGAGTGGCAGCTCTTTCCTGAAATGATTCTGTGGAGGCATCATTTATTTTTTCTATAACATCAGGCCTCACAACCCACAGGAATTTCCTGTTACATATTTCAAGCCCCATAGCTAATTCCTGAAATTGGATTGGATCAAAAACTGTCATGCTACCAAATGCAATGTATATGACTGATTTTGGTGGTTGTTCATCCAGCCATTTCAAACAAGTGGAATCCTCAGGCCAGAAATTTCCTGCTGTGTCTCCAAGCCGGGTACTAACCAAAAGGGGGCCTATGGGCAGGATCTCCGGAGCCAAGGAGAATGCTGCAGCCTCAAGTTCATAAATTGAGTTGCAAAGCAGCCAGTCTGTTAATTTCAAAGACCTGTTGTTATTGACCATGAGTTCAAAAATATTCTTCTGTGCATTCTTATTGCCAATGCTGGCCCATACAAAGTTTGCTGTGTTCATATCAGGCATGGTTGGTGACAACTTAATTATCTGCTTTTTTGTGGGAGTTCCTGCAAAGAAAAGATCAAATCTTCAAAATTGTACTAAGGGGTTCTTCCAAGGCCAAATAAATGATTGTGTGCGTAAAACTACTACAATATGGTCTGAATTGGTTCGTTTTGGCTATTGGGGTTCACAACTTAGGACCTCACATTCTCGTGAGGAGTCTACTATGTTATCATACAATACTTTGGGTTCAAATAAGTAGATATTGTCCTCTTTGGGGTCATGCTCGCACATATTTGTTTCTTAGTTTCATGCAAGCATCATTTACGCATCTACTTAATTGGGCGGATCTAAGTTTTATAAACTGAATCCTAAACTCATTTGCTAACGATATAGGATATGAGATTTATGTAAACTGACTCAAATGTAGAGATAGCAGTTATATGAAGTGAGCTAGTTCATACACAGATTTTGGAAAACTTAGTGATGGAGGTACTCACCTTCACAATCAATAATTCCATCATCAATGAGCTTTGGTATGCTCAAACTCAAGACCAAAAGTGCAGCTGCAGCAGGACAGAAAGCCGCTCTCTTGATTCCCATCTTCTCTGCAATTTCCAAGGCCCAACCAATACTTTGATCAGCAAGAACACAACTGATTTTGTCAATAGCTGATCCATGAATCTTCTCAATGAGCCTCTCTACATTTCTTGGCATAACTCTCAATATTGCCTCTGAAATCTTTCCAGGCTTATTCCTATCCTCCAATGATTCCAACCCATCTGGGACAGAAACAAGATGAATTTGACCCCACATATCTTCCTTTGCTGACAGTGCATTCTTGACGAGCTTGTGATTATATTCTGTGTTCACAAATGTAACTCTGAAGCCATGATTGGCCAGACATTGTGAAAGCTCCATTAGAGGAATTACATGACCTTGTGCAGGATAAGGAATGACCAGAACATGTGGATTTCCCATTCTAGTTTCATTCATTTTCCATGCAATTTCTGCAACAAGAATGATCCACACTTCATGTTTGTTCAATTTTGATGGAATCTTAAAGCTGGAATCAACTAGTTTTCCTATTGTTTTATTGATGGTCCCTTTTTGGATTTACTAGCTTTCTATATGCTTAAATTATATTATCTGTCATACACTCATACTCATGCAACGGTTGAAATATCTTCAGGATTAAATATTCTGGTCTTTTCACCTTATTTTAATGTAAACTTATCGTCTTGATACATAATAAATGATGTTAATGTGAACTAACTTGATTTTTTCTGATTGCACTGATCATTTCCATGCGGTTCTTTATTTTATAATGAAATACATGAATTTTGAATGGAACGTGAGCAGACAGTTGTCTGTATATGGGCAGCAATTTTACGCCTTTCAATATTCTTCTGGGTTCTTATTATTATTTGGTTACATAGTGTCTTGATGTACAGAACTGATTTAATAAGGTTTCAAAGTCGTCATTAAAATTAGTTATAACCATTCCTGAATAAGTTTTACACATTGGATTAACAAGGATAAACAACTCAAAAAAATATAAAAAACTTGAGCAATAATATTTCAACCTTATCTATTTATTTTATCTTTTATTCATCACAAACAAGTGAATTATTTTAATATTTTCTACTATAAATATTGGGGCAATTTTAGCGAACCCCAACAGGTATTGTGAAATTAATAGGATCACCCTAAGTATCAAAAATAGGAGAATAACCCCAATTTTTTAATTTTTTTTTTTTTTTTAATTTTTATGAACGAGGTATCTGAGCTAACTTGTTGACGTAGAACGTCTAGCAAAAGAATTCTTGGAAAGGGTTGCGCGTCAAAAGCCCAAATGTAAGACCCAAAAGTTCTAAATAGACATGTTAACTTAAAACGGCCATAACTTTTGATCCCGAGGAGTTACAAGGGTCGTAATATATCAACGAAAAGCTCGTTTCAAGCCTGACCATGTTGCAACCAGCTTTATCTAGTTAAAGGTCGTTTTGGAGGTCAAAATCCACCGTTTTAGTTTTATAAGCGTTTTTTCCTATTTTATTTAGGATTTTCTTGTTTTAATTAATTTGGATTTTATTTCCCTTTTTTATGGGGAGTCTTGTTAGGGTTTGGTTGTCATCCTATATAAACTTATTATTTGTTTTAGATATTATTCAATGATTATTCAGACCTTATTTTAGACTTTAAGACTTAAGTTTCTATGATTAAGATTTGTTTATCAATTCTAACAGTATAGTCGAGTATTAGCCTTGTTGTTGCGCTAACTCATTGTGTCACTTGCGTACACTTCAACTAATCCTTAGGACTTATTGAATACTCTACAAGCCCTCCATTGAACACTCTACAAACCTAATATTTTAAGATTAGTCACAAATATGGTAGGTGACCCTAAGGTAGTTTGAATCCAAAAAATCAATTAAGGAAGCAAACCTTCTTAACTGTCAAGCCAACCACTTGGAGTTGAATAACCCCAATATTGATAGATTGTTTTGTTAAGTAGTCAATATCGAGGGCATCGTTTATAATTGCACTTGATGCACAAAATAAACCTAGAATAAATTATACCATTGACAACAATCCGTAAAAACAAGGGGGTTTACCCTCCTATTTTCGATATTTGAGAGTGATCATTGTATATCGTTACACTCATGGGGGTTTACTAAAACTACCCATAAATAAAGTTGTAGATCCATGTTCTTTTAGGGTATGGACTTTTCTAAAACTGGGCCCTTTCATGTATTGCCTTCTGAGTTTGGGCTAAGGCCTTAGGTTACCCTGACTCCTATTCGGGACTTGCGCAATTTTCTGAAGAGACAAAAGATGCCTTATTTATATTCATGACATGAATATATAGTCTCAAATCCAATTAAACCTGACCAATTTACAATTATTTGCTGCACAATCTCAAAGGAGACAAAGCTTCTTAATGTCTTCTTCCTTTGCATACCAATGGGGTATGAACCTTGTAGCATAAGGATAAAGATCGTTATAAGATTTCTTGATTGTCAATTCTGCAACTTCAGCACTCACTGAGATATCTTTCAAAGACTTTTTATCACCTGAAAGCTGTGTAATCATGTAAATAATTGCGGCAAGAACAGATTTTGGAGTCCTCCTTATATCAAACTCCTCAGCATTTGTCACAGCTTCTTGTACTGCCACAACACCCTGATTTTTCATCCCAAGATTGCTGCAAAACCTCCTTACAAGCTCCACCGTCGCCACGCCACCCATGTGAACCTCAAGCTGCTTCTTTATAACCTCAATTGCCTTGTTAATCTCCTTCACTTTCACTCCATCTGCCACAGTGCTCAATTCCTTCAGCGTCCGCGAGAGCTTACTTTCTCTGCAAGCAATGAACAAACAAGCAGCCAAGATTGCATTCAGCTTCTTTCCTCTGCACAATTTATGTTCCTCTACTTTCACATATATCTCATCAGCCCGGTTCTTGATCGTCGCAACCAGACCTAAACTATCAGCCATTGAGGCAATGATGTCTAACCCTTTAACCAAATTTTTATCCGGATTATGCAACCTTTTGGAAAACAAAACATCCCCAGAATGATCAGCAATCTTGTGGGGATTAGAGATAAGTGTAACGAGCTGATTGCCATGATTTAGAAGCGGGCTCATTACACTGCCAACACGGTTAGGATCTTTGTCATTGTTGTCATCGTTAAAGTTTCTCCATTCTGCAGTCTCGTCAATGCCACAAGCTTCAAGAACTAAACCACATTCGGTACAAACTCTGTCTCCTTGCCTGTGATCTATAACAATGTCAGTGTTCTTTTTGCACTCAAAACAGTAATCAAAATCCATTCTTTGAATCTTGATGATGTGTTGTATCGATAGGGTTTCGTTTTTAGCCCCTTGGTTAGAAAGGTGGCATATTTATAATGACCACTTATTGTCCTGAGACAATTGGGAGTTTGGAGTCCTTGTGTGTATCAAATTCACCTTTTTCAATTTTTAATAAAATAATAGATGAAGTTGGATTTGACAAGACAGATACTCAGAAGGGATAAAGATGGTAAATATGCCAATTCAATTTGCTGGTTTTTCCTTATTTAATGAAAAGCATTAAAAGAGAGGCAAAGATTCTAATAAGAATATCCCTTTTTCCCTAATTTGGCTCCATTGGTCCGATATCTCCTGTATGGCTTTTGAGAAGATGAAAAGTCCTCTTTCAGTTACATGGGAAAAAAAATTGTAGTCATCATAGGACCACACAGGCCACAGCCAGAGAATTATCAAAAATACAGTATAATATCAAAATCAAAGACCAGCAAGGCTGCCCCTCCTCTTCAATGGGGCTGACCACCACAACCAGGTTGATTTTAGAGATCTTTTGGGACCCAATTTTTATGAGCAAAACCCCCCAAAAATAAAAAGTGCAACCCCACGTGGGGATGATGCTGGAATTAAACAAGAAAGTTAAAGTTTGTGAGTTGGAATTTGTATAAAATTTTCTTGGGAAAGTCTAGATAATGAAAACAAACACACCCCCACCAATCATATATCCTCGTATAGATAGCCAAACCAACCCCACAAAGTAGTCATATTTATTTATGATAAATTGACTGATTTTGTTTCTTTCTTCTTTATTCTACTCTCAGGGTGGAATTTTCAGCTTTCTTTTGGTTCTCACATCACTTTCTCAATCATAATGGAACAGATACTGATACTGATACTGATACTGATACTGACAAGGGTAGCCACAGAATAAAATAGAAGCAGGTTTGGCTTTGGCTTGGTTTGTTATTAAGAGTATCAAAACAAGTGACGTGTCACTGGTGTTTTCTGTCAATTTTTTTAAAAGGAAAGAATTGAGGGACAATCAAGTAGTGGTAGTGCTTAGAATCCTTCCAACCATAAAACGACTTTTCTTGTCCTGTACTCATTCATAATGTAATAATAATAAATACCCTTACACTTTTTGTGACATGGAGGGACGACAGAATCAATGTCTCAAATCACTTGTACTTTTCAGACAAAACAAAGGATTAACGAGTTGTCAATAGATAGAAGCTTCCACTTCCTTTTCAAAGAGATCTTTTGCATCCCCCAATAAAATGCAAGTCAAGGTAATGACACAAGCACGTGAGAGGAGAAACAGATCTTTTTAATGTAAATGCTCAAGTCAGAGAAGCATTTAGGACCTCTAGTTCTCTCAGTGGAAGCTCCTGTTAAAACATTACCCAGATTATTAAATTACAATAGATATGTACCTTTCATGATTCTGCAAGAAGTCACTTCTCCTGTTTCCAGTTTTTTATAGCTCAAACCTGAAAAAGGGGTTAGCACAAAAAGAACAAAATGGAGAAAGCAAGGTAGCCAAAAGTACATGAAAACAGCCATTAATTACTTGTGCTAAATATTTTACTAATTTATGTAACAACTTAAAAGAGCTAAAAACACATCCATGCTAATGACCCTCTTCATTTTCCAAAAGATACTTCAAAAAACTCCTATTCTCCTTGGAAGTTCATGAAAATATACAAGAAACAATATATACTTTCCCAAAAATGACCACAATCGGCCTCAATCAAAATGATTGAATGCCTCACTTATAAGGTTGACCTGTCCAGTTTCCATCTTTCATTCCTCTTCTTTCTTGGATGCCAGTATATAGGTTAGTGCAGAGAGATCATAGATGTGTCGATGAGGATATGGAATACTGATATAAGGAGATCAAGCAATTGATAATCACAGTGAAACACATTGTAAGCCTTCGGGAAGTTTTCTGGGCATCGGAAGTGCAGTGACATATCTCTGGGGAAATGGTTTTGGTGTGACAGAGGATAATGAGGTGCCAGAGATATCAGCTTGTCCTCGTATATGAAACTTGGCAAAACGGTTGATGACAGCAAACCTCTCCAACTCCTGACATTCGACTCTTATGTCCACTATAGATGCTGCCTTTTCCACTCTGCATCAACATCAAGTGGATAAATCTAAAGAACATCATCAGGCAAATACTTCATTGACTTACTGCATCTTTGTCAATATTGGCACAGGTACAACAAAGGTGTTTGTAACATCCTCAGTAAGATTTTCACCAACTAATTACTTATTTATCATTTAGGAAAAAGGGAGAGCAGGTGGAAAGATTATTTGGATGCATGTTTTATTACACACGCAAATATAATTATAAATAAAAATTTATGTCCATATAAAAACGAAAATAGATTTCTGCAAGTCTACATCATGTGATCTTTTACTTGATCATAGCCACACAAATTGATATAAAATTGAAGATAATATAGAGTCGTAATTCTGGTCATCACAAAGACACTAGACAATTGCCAATAATTTCACAATCAATTTATTATTTTTTTCTTTTGCTTTTTTTGCAAGAGAAACAAAAATGTAGGGCAACAATGAAGAGAAGCAAAAAAAATAATAAAATCTTTCAATGAAATCCAAAATTTGTTTCATACCTTTGGAAGTCATTTTCAAGCTTCTTCACTCTAGCAGTTAACTTTTCAACGACTTCTGAAAATTGCTGGTCAAAAGTTCCCTCAGATGTATCAAGCTTCTCAGAAATCCTGAGCAAATTTTTATGAAACAAATTAGTTTTCAGAAAGTCAAAATATTTCTTAAGTGAAACCATAACCTATTCCCAGGTACAAATCATTTTCATAAAGTTTATCAATGAAACAAGATTTATCCATCTCTAGAATAAATATAAGAGATTAAGTGATAGAATGCTATTGTCCACATTGTACATTATCTTCCTATTAGATAAGAATCAAATCTTAAGATAAAACAGCTCCCGGAAAACCACACTCACATGCTACTGTCGTCCATGAACTCAAGCAAGTCATTTCTTGGATAGTAAGTGAGACTGCATGCATCCCCAAGGGCTAATCTTGAAACAGAATATATTACGCTATCATAGTGTGAAGCCACATCTGCTGAGAGAATGGATTCTGGAGCAGGACGAAGCAATTGTTGCATAAGCTGTGTTGTCAAGACAAGCCTTCTCTTTGATCGAAACACTGGTGGCACATCTTCAAGAATATCTACCTCATCTTGCATCTGCCAGTAGAAAAGACAAATTAGAACCCCTTTCTCAAATATCTACGGCAATGTATTGAAGAATAACTTTCTTGGTAAGCTGCTTTATGCTAGAGACACACCTTCTCAATCAACCGATTTGTGGCTTGCGCCCAGTGTTCTTCTGCCATGCTGCAAAGCAAATATGTTTTAGGCAATGGTTGGATGAACAGAGAAGAAAGCAGTGATTGAATATCTAAAGGGGAAAAGCAAAAACAAAATAAACCAAGGAAAAGGTGTATGGTTGATCGAGTTCTATTGCATTCAAATTTTGATACAGAATGGCAGAAGAGTAAAGCATATCGCTGAGTTCAGTCACTTAGGAGATCAAGGAATTAATATGTAATTTAAAACTTCGGCCATAAATTAGTTTTTAATCTTAAAAATTTCTTTCCTATCTATCCATCATTGGCAGCCGAAGACTAAATGATATAACTTCAATTAAATTGAAGATACCTCATATTTTGAAGCCTCTGGGAACCTTGTGTCACTTCTTTGTGCCATGGGAGAACCTCAGGTGTCACTATTTTGCGCTTCTTTGGTCTTGTAATAGCCATACTTTGATTTGCGATGTCTGAAGGCAACACAGAAGGACCCAAGGAGTGGTCTGCTCCTACCAAGGTGGCATGTGCACTTGGTATTACGGTACCACCTTGACTAGCATCGGTGGCATCTACTCGCTGCACAGAGGCTTGAATGTGCATATTGTGAGGAGGCTTTACAAGAGAGAGCTGGCCTGCGGCCATTTTTGCAAGTCTGGCATCATACGGCGATAGCATCTGCCCATTCTGCAAAGTTCCATACTTATTAAACCATGAGGGCGCCATACGCAGATTAACCTGGCTATGTTCAGTAACATTAGATGCCACATTGCTTCCAGGTTGATTCTGAGAATCACTTTGACCGAGCTTTGCCATCTCGGTAGAAGGTCGATCTTGGAGGCTCATCATATTGGTATCCCTAGACGGAAAGGAATTTGGTTGTACCCCTGCACCCTGTCCACTATCCACGAGATTTCCAAACTTCGGATTATACTCATATTGTCCCACCCTCCTACTTGGATCATTCTCAATGTTTTTCACTGCCTGCAATTGGCCCATTAGGGAATACTTCTGAGGAATTTGGGGGGATGATTCCAAAGATTGACCAACAGATACCAAATTTCCTTCAGAAGCAGTGAGGGCATGACTATCTTCGTTCTTTTCTCTGTCAAAAGCCTGCTGGTTAGAACGAACCAATAAAGAGCCAGAGAGAAGAGCATTTGAATCTGAGACATGCTTTGGTGAAGGCTTCAGCCCATGCAGTGAACCAGCTGCCTGTGAAGCGTCAAGTGTCTCAGATGATACCTGCTGCTCGGAAGCACCAAATTCAGGTGATCCATATTCTCCTTTTGGGGAGCTAATCATGCTATTATTTGATGGATCCATGGAGGAAGGAACAGGAGGCTGCCTCTGAATTGTTACATTTGTCCATACATTGTGCGGTCTTGCTGAACTCTCGCCCTGCTGAGATATGCCAGTCATAACCGATGGCTGAGATACAGGCAGAGCTTCCAAAACTGGAAATTGCTGGCCCAAGGGATTGGTGTAAATCTGTCGAGGGGTATCATGAGAAGCAACACGGTTAAGAAGTTGGTATCTGCTAGTGGTGTTTGCCAATGTTGCTTGTGAAGCTTGGGATGATACAGCTGCGCTAGACATGAATTGCATCTGAGGCTGATTTCTCATATATGAAGGACTGGAAGCATACGCCGCATTAGAGTTTCCTTGCATAGTCAAATACGAGGAGGTTCCTGTTTGTCCCGAAGCACTAGCTTTATCCTCCCAATGTGCCCTTGGCGACAATTCATGAGTAGGAGGAAAAGTCTGAAAGGAAGATGGGGAAGCTACCCAGGTCTGGTTTTTCTCTTTTAAGTCAGAATTGGCTTGCCTTAAATTTTGATAACTTATTGCCTGAGGTGAACTATGAGCAGAGAGGAGATGGCTTGAGTTGGTCAGCCTTTGAGAAGGAGGGCCCAACCTCAAACCAAACCCCTGAGAAGTAGAGGACAGATTATACAGTTGAGCACCAGATGTATGCACTTCATTTTCAGGTACCTTGGTCATTGAATTACCATCAGCAGAACCAAAATGTGTTGTAGTGCCATCTTCTCTTGATTGGTCAACCTTGTTCAGAAGCTCAAGCATATTTTGACTCTCATGGTTAAGTCTATCAAAAATTACAAGAAAGTATAAATGTTAATATGCAGTTAAATAAATGTTATATATGAACATTATTATCCACAAACACTGAAAAGATCACTTAACAAGTTCTGCTGAAAAACAAGAAGACAATAATGCTAATACCTATTTAGATTTCTAAGCGAAGGCCTATATAGATTTCTAAGCGATGACTGATCTAAAAAGCAAAGGTTTTCAGACAAAAAGCCAGATGACACACGGTATGCATAACTATTACTAAGAGCAGATGTATGGTTCACTTTGTCATAATTTAATATAATTGACTACCTTGCCTGAGCAGCAATATTTGAACCACCAGAGCCAAGTGATCTAAGATCACCTCCAGAAGGTAACTCCTCTGACGCTCTTGAGTTCCCTTGCACATGAGCTAAATGCGCCTGTAAAAGTAGACAAGTTAAATTACTAGTCAATAATGCTTCAAAAGAAAACAATTAATAGATCTGTCCACCAAAGAAATATTTACCTGCTCCAAGCCCATGGCATTGCTGGAAACATTACCAAGAAACTGGAACTGTGACGCATGCCCTTGCTCACTACCACTCAATCCTTTGGAGTTGAAGCTGCCATTAGAATTCTCCCTAGGGTAGTAGCTCTTCTGCTTCTCATAAGTTTCAGCTTCTCCATCATAGGAGTTACTATAGACATGAGGGCCATTGCTTATTTGTTGAGGGCCCTTTGCCATGCTCTCTTTTTCCCTTTTGGCAACAGATATATCAGCATGTCGCATGTAATCAGATTGATTATTCTGCAAGATCTGTTGACTGGTCGCCTGATGGGACTTGACAGTATCTGGTACAGCAGATAAGTTAATATGTGACGCCATTCTCTGCTGCTGCATATCACCTTCTGAGCGCTCATTAATCTGGCCTGCCCATGCATTATTTAAATGCATAAATGATTGGACCTGTTGACTACCTTCAACAGATGGCTTCTGTTGAGGATTACAGTCCACCCATTCACCAGTGACCTTAGGAGACTTCTCCATGGATTCACCATTCTGGCGCAAACCCTCTCTCTGTTCACCTGAAAATTGGATGCCTTGATGCTGAAAGCCAGGGAAGCTAGAGCTCATATTGGAATCATTAAACATATGCAACGGTTTTGAAGTAAAGGAGGAGGCACTCGGCAAGTTGTTATCAACCCAACCTGTCTGTTGGTTGTCACCTTCCATGAAATTCGAAAGCTGATTATCAGTTGACTGTTCCGTATTCTGGAAAGTCAAGCCACTCCACTCCTCCTGCATCCCAGTATCACTGCTTGAAGCTTCTGCTACTGCAGACTGCATAAGAGCACTCCAGCTCCCACTCTGCAATGATGGAAATGAATTTGATAAATCCGTGTTCTCCATCATATTGCCAAAACCAGCAGTACCCATGTCGCTGCGTCTTCCAAAAGAAGCATCCCATATGTTTTCATCCATATTGTACAATATCTTCTCTTCCATTGGGTCTAGGGGTACCAAACCCTGATTAGGACCATGTTGTGTTGTTTTTTGCTGCATTGCAGGCCAAACAGTTTGCTCTTGCCTTCCATTAAGTTCTTTCATTGATGAATTTGATTGTGGTGAATTAGCTTCCTGGAGGTTTCCTGACAAAATTCCACTATTTAAACCCGGATTGGGAACTTGTTCAAACATGTTTTTCCCTGAAAACCCCTGGTTGGACATGAAAGCCCCTTGTGTCATGGAAGCCTGGTCTGGAGAAACAGTAAATTGATCTCTCAAAAAGGAGTTACTGAAACCTGATGACTGTACCGTGGGCTTCTGTGCTTGGGGTATTCCTTGGATGTGGGAATATTGACCCATATTACCTTTTGCGGTAGCAACAGGAGTACCATATAAAGATCCCTCAACCGGCTGAGAGACAAGGCCCATTGAACGCAGAGATTGACCTTGCTCAGCTGAAAACATGAGTCTATTAGCTACTCCTTGCGTACCAGAGGATGCACCACTCTGTACCCAGTTCATAAACATTTGAGATGCATCATTAATAGGTGTTCCATTGAGTGGTGAGAACTGACCCCCAGCAACCTGTTTAGAAATTGCTGGAAGCTGGTTTAATGGATTCTGTTGCCGCACATCTCCTAACTGCTGAAGTTGCTGCTGCCTTTGAAGTTCTTGCAATTGCTTGAACATCATGTGCTGCTGCAATAACTGCATGTCACTAAAACCAGGTTGCTGCATTGGAACAGGCTGTACAGTTCCTGGTTGATGGTCCTTTGCAAGTTGTTGTTGCCCTCTAAGAAAGTTAAAATCGGTGGAAACTTCAGTAATCTCTGACCTTTCAGAATTTGCTGTTAGGGTGGGACTGTCAGTCCCAGACTCATATTCTTGCTGTGATTTAACAATAGACAAGCCCCTCAAAATTAAATTATGCTGATCATTAAAAACTGGTTGATTCTGCCCTGTCTGGAAACCCTGGTTTCCAAGAAAGGATCCATTGGTATTCAACTGGTAGTTTCTGGAGTGACTTCGGTTATTCTCAGGTATTGGAGTCAATTTTGTATAATTCGGCTTATATGGCACACTTACAGACTCACTACTGCGTCCTCTCACAGAATCTGTAAATACCATAACATATACAGTATTAGCCTGCTATTAGTTTCGTAAAGCCTGAAAAGTTTGTTTCAAAATACAATGAACAACTACTGTTTCACGATAAGACAGGTAACTCTCTGCCCATTTCAAGATAGAAGGGAGAACATTCCCACTCTGCACTAGCACAAGAACCTGAGTNAAAACAATTAATAGATCTGTCCACCAAAGAAATATTTACCTGCTCCAAGCCCATGGCATTGCTGGAAACATTACCAAGAAACTGGAACTGTGACGCATGCCCTTGCTCACTACCACTCAATCCTTTGGAGTTGAAGCTGCCATTAGAATTCTCCCTAGGGTAGTAGCTCTTCTGCTTCTCATAAGTTTCAGCTTCTCCATCATAGGAGTTACTATAGACATGAGGGCCATTGCTTATTTGTTGAGGGCCCTTTCCCATGCTCTCTTTTTCCCTTTTGGCAACAGATATATCAGCATGTCGCATGTAATCAGATTGATTATTCTGCAAGATCTGTTGACTGGTCGCCTGGTGGGACTTGACAGTATTTGGTACAGCAGATAAGTTAATATGTGACGCCATTCTCTGCTGCTGCACATCACCTTCTGAGCGCTCATTAATCTGGCCTGCCCATGCATTATTTAAATGCATAAATGATTGGACCTGTTGACTACCTTCAACAGATGGCTTCTGTTGAGGATTACAGTCCACCCATTCACCAGTGACCTTAGGAGACTTCTCCATGGATTCACCATTCTGGCGCAAACCCTCTCTCTGTTCACCTGAAAATTGGATGCCTTGATGCTGAAAGCCAGGGAAGCTAGAGCTCATATTGGAATCATTAAACATGTGCAACGGTTTTGAAGTAAAGGAGGAGGCACTCGGCAAGTTGTTATCAACCCAACCTGTCTGTTGGTTGTCACCTTCCATGAAATTCGAAAGCTGATTATCAGTTGACTGTTCCGTATTCTGGAAAGTCAAGCCACTCCACTCCTCCTGCATCCCAGTATCACTGCTTGAAGCTTCTGCTACTGCAGACTGCATAAGAGCACTCCAGCTCCCACTCTGCAATGATGGAAATGAATTTGATAAATCCGTGTTCTCCATCATATTGCCAAAACCAGCAGTACCCATGTCGCTGCGTCTTCCAAAAGAAGCATCCCATATGTTTTCATCCATATTGTACAATATCTTCTCTTCCATTGGGTCTAGGGGTACCAAACCCTGATTAGGACCATGTTGTGTTGTTTTTTGCTGCATTGCAGGCCAAACAGTTTGCTCTTGCCTTCCATTAAGTTCTTTCATTGATGAATTTGATTGTGGTGAATTAGCTTCCTGGAGGTTTCCTGACAAAATTCCACTATTTAAACCCGGATTGGGAACTTGTGCAAACATGTTTTTCCCTGAAAACCCCTGGTTGGACATGAAAGCCCCTTGTGTCATGGAAGCCTGGTCTGGAGAAACAGTAAATTGATCTCTCAAAAAGGAGTTACTGAAACCTGATGACTGCACCGTGGGCTTCTGTGCTTGGGGTATTCCTTGGATGTGGGAATATTGACCCATATTACCTTTCGCGGTAGCAACAGGAGTACCATATAAAGATCCCTCAACCGGCTGAGAGACAAGGCCCATTGAACGCAGAGATTGACCTTGCTCAGCTGAAAACATGAGTCTATTAGCTACTCCTTGCGTACCAGAGGATGCACCACTCTGTACCCAGTTCATAAACATTTGAGATGCATCATTAATAGGTGTTCCATTGAGTGGTGAGAACTGACCCCCAGCAACCTGTTTAGAAATTGCTGGAAGCTGGTTTAATGGATTCTGTTGCCGCACATCTCCTAACTGCTGAAGTTGCTGCTGCCTTTGAAGTTCTTGCAATTGCTTGAACATCATGTGCTGCTGCAATAACTGCATGTCACTAAAACCAGGTTGCTGCATTGGAACAGGCTGTACAGTTCCTGGTTGATGGTCCTTTGCAAGTTGTTGTTGCCCTCTAAGAAAGTTAAAATCGGTGGAAACTTCAGTAATCTCTGACCTTTCAGAATTTGCTGTTAGGGTGGGACTGTCAGTCCCAGACTCATATTCTTGCTGTGATTTAACAATAGACAAGCCCCTCAAAATTAAATTATGCTGATCATTAAAAACAGGTTGATTCTGCCCTGTCTGGAAACCCTGGTTTCCAAGAAAGGATCCATTGGTATTCAACTGGTAGTTTCTGGAGTGACTTCGGTTATTCTCAGGTATTGGAGTCAATTTTGTATAATTCGGCTTATACGGCACACTTACTGACTCACCACTGCGTCCTCTCACAGAATCTGTAAATACCATAACATATACAGTATTAGCCTGCTATTAGTTTCGTAAAGCCTGAAAAGTTTGTTTCAAAATACAATGAACAACTACTGTTTCACGATAAGACAGGTAACTCTCTGCCCATTTCAAGATAGAAGGGAGAACATTCCCACTCTGCACTAGCACAAGAACCTGAGCAATTATCACTAGGCCAACAGAGGATGCATACAAAAATGTAAAAAATATATATATATATGAACTGAAAACCATTGATACCTAATTTTTGTACTCCGTAGTTCTTCAGATTGAAGTTCAGAGGTGCCACACTATGCCTTTGTTTTCCAACCCACAGATTATCATCAAGCACTGACCAGTTTCCATTGACAGCGTGGGAAAAATGCTGTCCCTGGGAAGAGTTATCTAGTTCGAATAGATTGCGGATCCCGTCTTCAACTTCTTCACCAGGCATTAAATAACCACCCACTAATGTTATTTCAGCTACTTGTTTTTTGGAAAGCAGGCCTATCCATGTATAAGATCATTCTGGGTCGAACCACTGCTTTACATTACGCTAAAAGGAGCTTTATATGCAAAAGAAAAATACATAGGTTTAGTTTAGTGTACCACTCCTCAAGATATCATCCCGCACAACAATGATTTAATGATGAACAAGACTATAAATAATGTCTTAAAAGTTCTACAATAAGTATGTAAATCTTTCATAGGGCTTAACTAACAAAAGAAGTCTACAAAAGCAGAAGCATGGAAACAAATAGAAACACGCAGGTCATGGCAAATGCTTGAAGTATGGTTAGCAGTCCACAAAATCAACCAACAGGAGTTCAACATATTGTGCAGCTTTAACAAAAAATGAATTGCCAAACTAGTGTTGATTTTTTTCTTCAAATTAGAAATGTTGTGCATTATAACAATTTAGGCAGCATTATCTGAAACAAAAACTTTACAAGTTCGGAAATTTCATTTTCTTTAATCAATTCCCACGACCTAACAAGTCAATGCATAATTAACCAACACTTCTAAAATATCTCCAACTAAATCCTAGACAAACACTCTGCAAAAAAATCTACAGTTCAAGGAATACCCAAATAACAAAAATAAAACCTGCCTCAATATTGGACCAAAAAACAAATACAAAACTAGAAAAAACAAAGAAACAAAATAGGGCATCCAACACTCATCTGAGCTTCAAAGCTTAAGAGAACAAATAAGCAATTCAAAAAAGAAAAGAAAAAAAAAGGAGAAAGAGAAGGAGAAGAAAAACCCATCAAACTAACAATTCAGTGCATAAATAACAAACAATTCCACACTAAACCAGGCCAAATCCTTACCTTCAAAACCCTAAAACAAGCACCAAAATTTAACTCACCCACCCACCAAGACCTCAAGTTTAAGACAAAAAAAAAAAAAACCCAACCCATTCTCACAGAAACCTCAGAAGCTTATTTAAGCAGAATTAAAAGCAAGCACGCATAATTACACTACCATCACTCATTTCAAGCTAATTAACCTCAGGGACAAGCTCAAGACTTGAAATTTACCAACAAAACAGGAGCTCCAAAGCAAGCACACGAGCAAGAAAGTGGTGAGAGTGTGATCTGAAGACAGAGAATTTTAGGGTCTTTGTTCAAGAGCTAGAGCAGAGGGAGAGCACAAGCTACCACTTAACACGCCGTGTCGTTTTGATGGCCTTTTGATCAAAACAATAAAAGAAAGAAAAATAAAAATAAATACTGTAATTACTTAGAGTTCTTGTTTTTGTTTAATTAAAACTAATTAATACACAAAATCAAAAATAAATTAAATATATAATAATGAATAATAATACCAGTAATGGCTTGGTTTGGTTTCTCTCTAAGGTGAACAAAATGAGATTTTCAGACAAGAACCGAAGATAAAGGGATCGACTCACTGTCATAAAAGGAAATATGTTTGTTTTTATTTTTATTTCAACGAGTTTTTTTCAGAATTATAAAATAAATATAATATCAATAAAGTACTACTACCAACCTCAGGCTGGGAGTTAGCTCCGATTTGGTCCGGAAAGTGGTAATGTTTTAGTGCTTCTCAAGTGTTGGTATGCCGTATATTGTAGAAACTACAACCGTCGATTCATATTATGTTTTAGAGGTATTTGTTAGATATTTTTGTGAAAAATTATTATTTGTCAGAAAGTTTTTGGAAATATTTTTTATTAATATTTTTATGTATTTAATATTATTTATTTATGAGAAATATTTAAAGGGAAAAAAATTTTGAAAATGTTTTACCAATAAGTATTTTATAATACACAGTAAGTCAAGTCTAAATGGACAGTTGGCATTTAAGGAGGATGTACACGTAGTTGTTTATTATCTTTGCTTGGTAACAAAAGTAGATGGGGGATATGCGGATTCCACGCGCTTTTGGTTACGCGTGGGGTTGTGCACACTTTAAATTTAAGTTACTTTTTGGAGGGGTTTTTTTATATATTTTGAGTTTTTTGTCTTTTAACTGGATTTCTTTATATTTTTTTAAATATTTTTGGGATTTTGATCTAAATAACTTTGTATTTTATTTGGTATTTTTTTACTTCACATAATAAAACAAGTACAGGGATAGAAATAGGAAGTTGTATATCCTACCTACTTTTTAAAGCAAGAAATATGTTTAAAAAATATTTTCAAAAATATTAAATAATTCTAGTGAGCTTTTGTTTAAAAAAAATAATTATAAGTAAAAGAATGAAAAAAATATTTAAAGTTGACACTACTTATTACTTTATTACAAAAGTTCTATAAGTAATTACTAGAGTATGCAAAACCAAGTACTCAAAACGGTTTGGTGTTTTTCTGAATCAAACCAAATCCGAATCAAGCAATTAGTTGAACCAAATCGAACCGTTTGGTGGTTGAGCTTGTTTTGAACTGAACCGAAAATTCAGTTTGGTACAAGCGGGTATCCATTCTCTTTCATTCATTGTTTCTTTATTAGTCAGCTCTACACACCCAAATTATTTTCTTCTTTCATCAAATAGGATTTTCAACTTTACAACTCTTTAAAGAAAATGGAACAAGGAGTTATTGATGATATAATCAATCAGTTATTAAGGTTCAAGGCTGACCAGAAAGCATGTCTAGTTATCATGCATGTTTTTAAATACATCAGTTTTATATATATATATATATATATATATATATATACACACACACACATACAAGCAGACGAATATATACACAAACATTGGATATCCTAAAGTTTTTAATTGCAAATTGACGATTAACAACTGATGTTGCCTTTGAGTTATATTTTTGTGAAGTTGTTGATAGATCGGTGATTTTTTATTCACATATCAAAATTTTCAAAACTTCCACACTTGAGTGTATATATATAGTCCATCATGGCCTTTCTATTTTTATTATCATATAAAAGTGAAATGAAAGGAAAAGAGAAAGGTAAAGTTAGAATTAAGTATAAGTTTGACAAAAAAGAAATAATTTGATTTTTATGACCTTTTCTTCTTCAGGGTGATTCTTTTTGTATTTTGATTTTTGGGTGACATCCTTCGCCCTTTTTATGGATATACCTAAAAAACCAGAGGATCGCTCATTGGTATAATACTACAAAGGTGACATAAACTGCAAATTTCAGTTACTTTATATATATATAATATTCACAGAAACTAACACTAGATGACATGACACATTGAGAAAGAAAGCGAAGGAACTTTGGTGTTTGAGCTATAAAACTTTGACTCAAAAAGTCTTTTTGGAAAGTGACAAAAATAACGACCTGGGGAAGAGAATTTAGAAGGAAACCACATGCTTTTAAAGCCCCAAATCTTTTTCTACTCAGAAATGAATTCAGAAGAGACATATCATATATGACAGATTGAAAGGCTTGAGGCTTTTTTCTCTTATTTATGGCTCATATTAAATACAACAAAAAGACTTGAGCCTAATTTTCGTTTCTTTAAATAAATGAGCTTTCATCACATTTATGACTTCACCATCATCATCATCATCATCATCAATGGAAACAGAATGAACAAAACCCCCTTTGACAAAAGCAATTTCCAAACACAAATTTGGATGCAAATTGAACAAGGTATCCTGAAGCCAAAAGGGGTTCTAGTCCTTTTCTAGGAATCCTTAGGGTTCTGAAAAGACCAGTCATGTTTGGATGATTAGAAAAAAGTTGCCTTCAATTTCACATCATTATCCCAATCATTTAATTGACCCAAAATTCTTTAATGAAAGGGAGATTTGTACTTTCACATAAAAGATGTACTTACTGCTTCATTTCTTTTTCAAACTCAACTTGAACTCTGCCCATATACATCATCATTCAAGTACATTTATCTTCCTGTTAAACCAAAAGAAAATTCTCCACACCATGTTCCAAATATTATTTATATGCAGATGCCATTTGTGAGCCCCACTTAGAAATTCCCACATAAATGAGAACAGAGACTTCATGCTTTTAGAACAATGAATAATCTTTCCCACAATGGATCAGAATATCTCACCCCATCTAATAGTTGCTCCTCAAAAGAGGTAAGAACAAGAACTGATTCAAATACAGTAGTGTATTTTTGAACAGGGTAAACAGTTGATTACCCAAAGAAAACATCGAGGAGCTCGGACTAATTTTCGGAACTTTGTGATAGATATTGACATATCAAATCATGTAATAAAGTGAGGTATAAGTGTAAGATTTAAGCACAGTGATCATAGTTAAACAAATGGAAGAAAACTACATAAATTAAGGACAGTAGTTTGATGCTATTTTGGAAACTTGAAGCTCCTTGAACAAAATTGATACAACATAGACTTGCAACTGACCTCCCGCTTAATACATGAACAGTATGCATCCATCTCCATATCATGCCTTGAGGTAATAACACGGCTAAGATGGAACATGCTGAATGTCGATCTTCTTAACCAAAAAAGATGCTATATGCAATACCATTCACATTCTGTAAAAGTTATCCCTCCTCCATGTGAAGATCAATTATCTCACTTTTCCCTTGAAAACTAAAACAAAAGAGATGTCAGCTTATTTCAAGTAAGTATACCTAGAAGGAGATGGAACTGAAATTGACCTTCAAAACAAATTTAAAGGAATTTGTTAAGAGATATTTTACCTCACTGTATATAAATTCCGGAAGAAATGCAAAGCTTAGAGTCTGCGCCACCACTGACTACACTGTCACCTCTCCACCAATCAGCACTTAATACCTAAAACACGGCACGGCTGCTAAGTCAATACATGCTTGTATTCACATGAGAACCAGAAAGAACTACATGGAAAGTTAATATTATACCTTGTCTTTGTGAGAATCAATGACAGCGAGAGGCCACTACAACAGAAAAACATACATATATTATACAGTATTTAGAATATATTAATGAATACCTGAAGACAGGATGATACATACCGCAGTTCTCAGATCCCACAACATAACTTTCCCATCATAGGATGCAGAAATTAAATGGAACGAGGATTTATTGTGCCACTTGCAAGCAGAAATCCAAGAACTGTGAGATGAGAACTGAAACACAGGAGCAGATGTTCCTACAAAACAACAAAGAACATGTAAGATGCAAATATATGAGAGAGAGAGAGTGTGTTAGAGAGAACGAGAGAATCAGACCAGGTTTACGAGGATCCCAGATCCTAAGAATTGGGTCAGAACCACCAGCAGCAATGAGGGCAGAACCTTCACCTCCAACATCAATGCAATGAAGAACTTTCCCACAGAACTGAGCAAGAAGGAGAATTTATCATTTAAACTTGAAAGGATAACTCTAGCTCCATGTCTTGAATGGAAGCATGAAAAAAAAAAAAATCTTAACAGTTAAACCTTAATATGAGCTACTTGAACTCCATTCTCGAATGGAAGATAAAGAAGAAAACATGTGTTGTTGAAAAGGTTGTATGTATTCTCTATCCAATGATAAGGTTAAAAGGTAATTCTGACTTACTATATCTGAAAGATCTTTGCCCGTCTCAACATCCCATCTCCTAACAGAATGATCCCAAGATGCAGAATAGATTGTTTCATGTTCTGGCCAAACCACAGATGATACACATTGTGTATGGCCCACAAGTGTTGACACAGCTTCTGCCTACATGAAATGAAATTTCATTTATATATCAACAGAGATGACTAGGGAAAAAAGATACAATAATTAAGCCTCAACTTAAGGTCACAAAGACTTGAAAAAAGAATGTAAGAAGAGAAATAAGCTCTCTAAATTACAGAGCCAAAAGATAAAAGGTTTAAAAAAGAGATGAAACTTAAAAAATCCTTAATAGCTCTTGAAATTGAAAATTTTAATTTATCAATTGTTACAGGGGCACTTGGCTTTCCCATAGAACAAGATGTTTAATTTCAGCTAGACATATCAATTGAAAAAGTGTCCATTGTCTTACACAGAATCCATGTTAAATTTCATTTTTTGTACAACATCATCAACTAATCCTCATGTAAGCAGTAAGAGATTAAAGAAATTAATAAAAATGAAACTTTGAATTTATCATTGGTTTTGTGCTACAACTTTAACCATGTTCTCAGTGAACCTTGCTAAAGGAGGATTGTGCACCATGAGCCTTGAGAAACAACAAGGTAAAAACTTTTCAGAGACTTCATAAATTCAAATGCACCCAAAAGGGAGTGAAAATGATGTATACCTCCAACTGAGATTCATCAGCTTGATTATTCACTTTTCTTTTCTTGATTGACACTTGATCACCTTCCGCATTGGACTTATTTGTCCGCCATAAATTGATTGTACAATCCCAGGAGCCTGAACAAACCTAAGCGTATGTAAACAAAAGAGATGGAAGCAATCAGCTTAATGGCTATTCAACCATGCAACTTACATCAATGAAAATACAATTCAGCAAAAACAGCCAGACCATGTCTCCTGAAGTCTTTGGAGCGATGCTCTGTACAGATGCTTTATGCCCCCGCAAAATTTTGAATGCCTGTATCTTCTTAGGATGATTAATAACCTCCTCTGCATCAAACTTTTACAGGAAAGAGAATATAATAATCAGCCTGAGAACTGAATTTTCACTTAAAATCACTAGTTTCTTCCACTTACCTTCCACAATCTCGCAGTCCGATCTTTTGAAGCAGTGGCAACAGTGACATCTGTCATACCTGCATTTACAACAGTAAACTAACCAATATAGAAACAAAGATGAAGATAATTACATATGCACCTATAATACTTGGACATGACCATAGACAGAATCAACAATAAAGCATGGACTAGGTAAGATGAAGAGGTATTCTAATTTGGTCTTTTTACAACTAAAACACCATTTTGAACATTGGAAATTTTCAGGTAATTTAGCTTAGCAGATCAAACATCTGTACAACATCTATACGATATGAATTACGAAGTGTGGAATCTCAAAACTGCCCAACAAAATAAAATTATATGACTAGGGAGAAAAGTCCAATTATTCCATAATACCCTACGAAAATGTACTTTTCTACACCCTTCTTGACACCTTTGACAGGTTATATAAATTACTTTACTGTTCAACATCTGCCAAATACCTTTTTTGAGACTGGCAAAACATATTGAGGTTAAAAACATTTAGGAAGAAAAAACAATAGCTGCTAACTTAAGAATAAGATAAAAGGTCAAATATGAATAGCCATCATAAATGGGTGCTTCAGGACTTAAAAATAAATGATGTTTAAAGTAGGCAGCAAGCATAGCTAAAAATCAAAAGCCCAATAGTGGTCATCTTTCAGGGTAAAAATAGCCAGACTATTAAACAATAAGCATTAAGCATGTTAAAGATGGTCAATACTGTCATACCATCTGAATTAATGATTCTAATGGAAGATAATGCACCACTGTGTCCTTCCAGTATATGTGTACATGATCCAGTGTTTTTCCATACCCTATAAAGAATTACAATTCAAAAATCAAATGGCTGAAATACCAGCAGGCATTGACTTCCTTACAACTAAATAAGATACAATAAAGCATATTGAAGTGCGGATGTAGATAAAAGTTTTAGGCAAAAACTTCAAAAACATTTACCTTCCCAAACAATCATAGGAACCGGTCAAGATGAACCTGCAAAATGACAAATTTGTGCAGCTATCAGATACATATGTTTTATTGGTAAAATGAAGCAACACAAAGGGAAATAATTAAAGTGTCTCAACAAAATCTAATTTACGTGCCAAGTGAGATATAATAAAACCATGGAACTACCTCTGTTCTTCATAGAAACTCCAATAAAACATTTTGAAGTCAGACAACTCTTGATAATTTGGGTTTCATTTTTTCAAGGAGGGCTCCATGTAAACAAGACCAGAACAGGGTCCGTTTTGGTAGTTTGAACAGTAAAAATATAAATACCAAGCACAATGACTAAGACTATAACAAATTCATGATATTTTTGGTAGTATTTCTCCTAAGAAATATGTTTAGCTAACACTAACATGGATTATATTGAGTTTGTAGAACCAAAATCATTAAATGAAAGAGATAAGAGTAAAAGCAACCAATATTCATAGTTCCTCTAATTTCTATCCATCTATACAGTAACCCCAAAACTTTTTCAACTCTCAGCAAATATATTGCACAATGCACACATTCACATACATACCCAGGATTAGAGCCATCAACTGCACTAACCCAATCATCATGTAAAGAAGGCCCTTCCTCCTTCTGTGGAACCACCGCCTTTATGTATTCAATTTCCAATATCTTCTCCTGTAGTTGGTCATAGATTCTAATTAATCATTCATCATAGTAACCACAGAAAATCACATTCACTTCCTTCAAGTTTACTCTTCTTATCGACAAACCCTTCTAATTCCAAAACTAGGAATACCTCCAAGAAACTTTTGAAGAATTTCAAAACCCTCAAGTTCTTGTAAGCTTTAATAAGAGTACTTAAAAAAATCGGTATTTTAATAAGTAACTTGACACAAACAACAAGTCTAAAAATTTGAATAAAGAAGATCAAATTTAGTAGCACTGTGAACATATTACGCCCCAGATTGCTTTGTTAGTCATAATTGTCTAACATGCTAAACCTTTAGCACTTTACAACATTAAAGGAGAATTGTTCGTCTAAATTTTAAAAATGACACAGAAGTCCACACCCGTCTATTAATCATGTCAGACAATTATGATTAATAAACCATCTAAGCATCAATAAAAAACATCTATTACCAAAACTAAAATTTAAACATATATATATATCAAAAAGTACCGCAGAAATGCCCTTGGCCAGAAGAAACTGTTCAAGCGACATGCGAATGAGCTCGCCATTGATCAAAAAATCTAAGGGCTGAGATTGCCACTCAGAATTCACTGAACAAGACATAAAAACAACAATTAGAAACTAAAAAAACTCACTAAGTTTTTAAAGGATAGGAACACGAAAATACCTGATTGAAGCAAGTTGTTTACAACAGAGGAGAGGCCGAAGCGAGTGAGATTAGAAGGGATAGCAACTGAAGTGTTAGGTACTTTCAGTGAAGGTTTTAGCTTTGTTATGAAGCGAACTTGAACACGCCTCAAATTTTCTTCATTTTGATCGTCTGTTGCTATGTTCAGCTCCATTGCTTTGCTAATTTTTTTTATTTTTTTATTTTTTTCTTGTCGTTGAATTGATGTGCAGAATAAGTACTAAAATCTGAGCTAGGGTTTTACTGGAAAGGAGAAGAAAATGTAAGGGAAACTAGGGTTTTAGTTCGAAGCAAGGCCTGGCCCAGAAAATCAGGCGTAATGGATCATCATTTTGGGCAGGCCTCAAAAATAAAAGATTTAGAAATATTAATAATAAAAAGTAATACTACACGTTACACATGATAACGTTAGTTTACAACTAAATCATACAAATAAAAATTATATAAAATAATTATTTTATCTTTTATTTCTTGTTTAGTTATATAATTCAATTATAAATATAATATTGTTCTACAGGTTATTTAAAACGCGATTTTCTTTAACATATATCTTATAAACATTATAAGACAAAAAATTTATTTTAATACATTAAAATTACTTTTTTAAAAACTTTTCATACATAATATATATCTAAATAAATAAATCTTTTGTATTTTAGTATCTTTACCGTGTACCCATTAGCTTAAAAACACTCTCTCTCAACTATACATTCTAAATTCAGTCTAATCCATTTAAGTTCATTATAATCTTCTGAATTGAATTACGGAAAGGGAGAATTTGAGAAAGAGTTGAATATTTTCCCGAGAAAGTGTATGAGAGAGGAGAAACAGAAAAGTTGATTTCATATATGATACTTTATTTTTGTTAAGTAATCGTGGCAGAGAGACCCTAATTATAAAATAAATTACATTAATTTGATAGTTGATAGAATCAGATCACTCTAAACCCTGATGCGTTTATATATACAGAGTCTACTGATCATTTCTTTTACTCATTAGTAACAAGTTAACAACAACAGCATTTGATACCTATAATGGCCTGTTAGCACTTAGCAAGTTAGGAGCCTTAGGTTTAGCACATCTGGGATGCTTTCTCTGTCAGCAAGAGTCGAATCACCTGGCAAAAGCTGCAATCAACTTTGCGACATGGTTTGGCTTTTCAACATGGGGGAGATGACCGCAATCTGGTATTTTCCGTATAATTGCATTCGGCAGCTCACTTTCCAGCCTCTACAGCATGTTTAAAGAAACATATCAGAAACTGTAACTAAATTATGTGTTTCAGCGTATACACACTCCTAGCCAACGAAGACGTTTGATCAACTGCTTAAACCAAGCTTATAGCACAATCTAGAAAGGGCAAATGCATTATAGTTAAACTTTTATAATGAGTATTTTTGTTGACTATGAGCCTCTACTTTATCTTTCACTTGGACATGAGATCAGTGAGAGGTCACATGACAAACCAGAATTGAAGTTTCCGCAAGTGATTATATATGCATATTCAACAAATATATATTTAGTATCGGTGCAAGTGAATAGAAGTGGGATCTTTTGTTTGGAAAATGAGCATGTTAGAACAGAATGATTTGGGGTTTGTTGTATGGTCTTTTTGTCTTGAAGAGTATCATAGAAGTTAGAATAGAATGAGTAGGAAGCAAAAAGCTTGAAACATACCATTGCGAGCTGTTTATCGACAATCAGATCTTGCTCACTGCATATGATAAGTACTTTCTGCCTTACCTGTAGAATCAAAATATAAATAACATGTAAAGACCCAAATACCACTCCGAAACATATTTTCTGTCAATGCTAATTTTGAGGACGGGTGTCTATCAAAATCCAAATTATACTGAACATTGGCGGACTAGTGTTATAGAAATTTAGCCCTCCATTGTCCAAATTGTCAAAAGAAAAAACTAGACCAGAATTTTTCATGGCTTCCAAAATGCATAACATCTCAGCTACTTGGATGTCCAACCTAAGAAGCTAAGACTGAGCACACCGCTGACCAATGATGATAAGTACCAAATGGAAGACACACTATCAAATACACAATGTCAAATATAATCAACTGTCATGAATCCACATGTGACTATATTAAAGGGAATTGATGTTATATACTGCCTCTCGGGGAGCGGGATTCCATCCTTGACATTTCAGTCTACATAGTTGGAAAAAAAAAATAGCATTTCCATACCTGTTTAATTTGTGAAACTACGTTATAGCCTCCACTAATCATGAAGTCAACAGTTGCATCTTTCCACCAAGGGAGGTGGCAATGTAGGCGACCTACCTAGAATTTCATACAAGAATAAAACATCTATTAGATTTCACCTCATGAAACCTTGCAGAAAGACTTTCGATTAAACCAAAATAAATTCAAAAATGTGTAATCTTAAACCAAGTATCTATCCCAAGATTGGAGTTTAGTTTGATAAGAATTTGATTTGGTTCTATTCGTTCAACAGTTGAACCAGACCCAATCTCAGGATTAGGCTCATCCAGTTTTTCAGCTTAAACTTCAAAGACTCTAGAAGCTATCAGTCATTTAGCTCATAAGTTAAGAGTACTTTATATCATAAAACAAATTTATATCTACATATATTATATGCATTATAAATACTTTACATGCAAGTTGATTTATGTCATAAATTGTATAAATATTAATATAGTAAATTTATGTTATGAACCATAAAAAAGATCTTCTCAGTGAAAAATTTGAACAGAAACTATATATCATTGAAGCCCAAAGTTGAGCCCAAATTGACTCAAATACTTCACCAACCTAACATGAATTGACCTTGAGCTTTCTTTTTCAAGCTCAATCAAACTTGAGCCAAGTTTAAAGCTAAGCAATCAGTTTGAGCCAACCTCAAATGTGCCCAAGTATTTGACTTAGCTCAACTTGTTGGCATTGAAATTCTCAGCACAACCCTTAAAGAAAATCATCTGTCTTGACAAGAAAAAATTGACTTACATTAGTCCAATCTAACCCTTTAGATAATGGGATGCCATTGAAGGTTAATATATTAGCATAAAGGCGCAGTGGAATGCTCTTCAACAAAGAAACCTGATTCATAAAGTTTAATAAAACAGTTAGGCGGCATAAGTTCAATAATGAGTAAATCTGATAAATCACAAAAAAAATGCTGGACATATGACAGAGCAACATCATCTTCTGGTACAGAAGCATCCTTCTTTGTCCTATAACTAGTGCCACCTTGGTTATGTAAAATGTGACAACAAAGTCTACCAAATTTAAAGATAGAACAGCAACTCCTGGTGTTAGTATAAATACAGTGTTTCCTAAAAAGCATCCTGCATCACCATTATACATCTGATTCATGCAAGTGGACTATTAAATAAGGAAACGATAAATTGTAAACAGTTTAATGGTTATTAGGAGGTACAATATTCTATGTATTTGTTTAATTTTAAAGATCATGTTACTGTCAGGCCACTCTGTTAGTTAGGTGTTCCTTGCTTCAGTTTCTATAACCTCTTTCATTTTACTTTTTTCTTATTCCTTTTTGTAACATATGCTTTGCAATTAGGTGTTTTTTCTGACCCCGCCGTTCTACTATATAAACCAAAATGTCAAAGTTAATTGAATCACTAAATGTGGAGACTTACCCCAGCATAGGCCACTATCTTAGGTAATTTTGCAAGGTTACCCGTGCCTTCTGCATAAACACTGGGGTTAATCAAAACCATCTTTTCAACCTGTATTAGGAAATAACTTTTTAACATAAACATTATTGACCAAGTACTCTGTACTTGAGGGTAAAAAGCTGGAAGCAAAAGTGAGTACATAAGTTGGAATTAAAGCAGCAATTTTGAGAGATCAGAATGTCTAAAGTCTAAATCTTTTTATGTACATAGGCATGAAAATGAATTGAAAAGATGAAACGCTTACAGCTTCAGGATAGTTCACTGCAAAGTCAATTGCTACAGCAGCACCAAGACTGGGTCCAACTAGAACAATTGGCCTTTTAATGTAGGACTTCCAGAGCTAAAATTTCATTAAGGAAAAATCAATCTCCAATCTTAACAAAAGAAATCAAACTGCCACCATTAATCATGAAAAGTTTAGTCTGGCATATTACATTGGCTAGTTGTTTTTGGCAAACTTAAAGCTGGGATAAAGAATCAATCAAGATACCTGATAGAGGTGACAGCGCTTTGAAGCAGCATCACATGGTGGAAGCCTCTCTTGTTGGGGGAAGAAAGGTAAAAAATAAAGCACAAAGAAAAAAAAAATTAGCATCATTTCACACTTCCGACATAGACCTAAAAGATATTAACATAGTTGAATCCAGAAACTAGTCAAGACAGGTTGATGAACCTAAGTCAGAGAATCCCCATCCCAGAACATCAACAGCCCAAGCCTCCAAACCAGCCTCCTCAAGCAAGGGGTATGCGCTTCTCCATTCTAAACAAGAGCTGAGTGATACAACATATTGAACCAGGTTCAGCTGGAAATAAGATGATTGTAATCATAGTATAGGTTGTGTATATCACAAACCTGTCAAAAGAATGCAAGAGAATAACCGGACTTGTTTCATTTTTTATCCTTGGTTTCACGCAACTACTCATTATGCAACTTCCTGAAAATTCAGTCTGCTGTACACAAGCAAGCCACATAAGTACCACATAGTAAGTAGACTAAGAGACTAATAATATTACAGGGCAGCAAAATTAAAGCACACAGTCAGAACCAGAACTTCCATGTTTAAAGAACTGACCAAACTCACAAGCATGTACAATCGTAATGGATTTTCTCATTCCTATTGTTTGTACTATCAAAGGATCTTGAAATCACAATGTGCTTGACCTAAAATCCACCCTTGTTCATAGTACATCACTCCCACGTGTCATCTTCAAGTTCTACACCTTCAATTGAAGGGCATCTCTAATTTCTTTCAACAAAAAATAGATTTAAAAAAAGAATAAATCACATTCCAAACGTTAAAAACTTTAATTCCATCTCCCACATAAAGAAATTAAATAAACAATAACATGCATTTCAAGCACAGTGAAATGCAGAAGCAAAAGAAGGAAAATTGAAGATTAGACTAGCAGTAAACCTGTACAGGGAGTCTCTGAATCCTCTGAGCCAAACTTCTAGCAAAAGGGTCTTTAATTTTCTCAACCTCTTTCGGAAGAAACGACGGAAACCC